TATTTTCCATTTCATGTTTTCTTAATTGATTTTATTTCTTATACTTGCATGACTTATTTACTTTACCTTCTTCTTAAAGACTGCATATGAATATCTAAATTCTTTTTTTACTATCACACTATCAAAGCTATTTTGCTTTGCCTTACTCTCTTACTTTTTTCCTGCATTTCTAAATCTATTTCAACTTAATTTCAATTTTATTTTTCTTCTCTTTGATAGGTACTAAATTGTTATTTATTTTTGTACCTGTTTACAGCTCTTTATACTGTACTTGCATGACATTCTCATTATATTTTTCACCATTAAAACCAATCCCCAATACAGCTATTCTTTTTCTTCCTCTATTACTATATTTTTTTTATAATTCCAATCCTTCTCTTATATCTATTTCATTATTATTCTCTTTAGCACTTCCTATCTTTAACTTTCTATTTCTTTTTTTAAAACTGCATGACTCTCTCATTCTATTTTTTTTATCTTAGTGTTACTGCTAACTGATCTCTTTCTTTATCAGAAGTTCAGAATTTTCTCCTGTTTTTTACTACCAATTTGCATATTATTTATAAATTAATTTTCTTCTTTTAAACAATCCAATTTTTGAGATTTTTTTACCTCTTTCTTCTTCTAAACAACATTTCTCTCATTCTTTTCCTTTCTAACAGTGTTAATGTTTTATTTACATATTTCTTTATATATCTATCTTTCCCTTCAATTATTTTGTTTACCCTTTTAGTTTTTCTTAGTTTTTTCTCCTATCTTTTGGTTCAATATGCACTTCTATTTCTACTATCCAGAGTTTATATCTTTATCTTACATTCTTACTTTTTTCTTTAATTTGACATTTAATTTTCTCTTTAAAAACATTTGATCTAAAACACTGTTTGTTTCTAAGCTAGTTTTTTTCCTTTACTTACTGCATTTCTATTTCTTAAAACAGTTTGATAATATCAATTTCTTTTTCTTTTTTAAATCAATCAATGTTCTTTTCTCTTTTGCAGTGTCAGTACTGCTTTTATCCACCTTTTACTTTTCTTTTACTACAATTTAACACACAATTAATCCATTTACTATATTTCATGTCTATCTTACTAGTCTGTCATTAATCTGTCAACTCCCTTTTCTTACTTCAACTAATCTTAAATAGTAACTGCAGGGCTTTTCAATATCTTACTCAAACAATCGCAAATAACCGTTATCTTACTCTAAAAGTTATATCGTAAAATACATTATTTTTAATTTTTTCTCATACACTTTTTTTCTTAAACTCTTTTCTTTGACTAACCCAAATTATATTTTCCTCTAACTTCTAATTGTTCATCTTTGCATGATTGTCTAAATTTCTGATCCTTATTTGTTTCCTTTTACCTTGAATTCACCTGCTTTATTCTCCTTTTTCCTTCTCTTAACTGTATTTAATTTTGATTATTGTGTAACTCAGTTAATCTCTCTGTCTCAAGGCTATTTGTCTTTTTAATTATCTTTGATTTTTATTACAATTTTTTAAATCTAAATTTGTCTTTGATTCTGATCTGATCAACTTGTGCTATCAAATAACTACATTACTTTCTCTATCCCTACTATTCTATCACATTTAGGCACTATTTGACTTCAACTTCCTATAAAAATGTCTTCCTCGCTCTTTAAATTAATTTCAACTTTCTACTTATTATCTTTACTGCCTGTTTCTATTCTTTGATAACTGTATTTATATATCCTGATCCAGTGCATGCCTATTTTAATAGGTACTTCATTTTCCTGTTTACTTTATATGCATGCTTATTTTAATGTCTCATTTTTTATCACTGTTAATCATATAGCCTATTCCTCTTTCTTTTTTATCTAGCTATTTTTACACCTACCTTTCAATGAGATAACATTTCAGTTTCTTTTCATTAAATTCTTTCTAGAATTCTTGTATCTATTTCTTTTTAACTGCATGACTCTTTTATTTCTTATCCTCTTCCATATTCCAATAATACACATCTTTATTTGCCTTCCAAAAAAAGAACTGTTTCACATCTTCTTTCCACTATAAAATCTCGTATTTTCCTATTTAGGACTTTCCTAGTTTTTCTCTACTTACACCCTTTATTGTTTTTTATAAAGCTTTATACTGTTGTTCTTCATCTCCAATTCATTCTTCATCTATTTAATTTTCAACCTTCTTAATTATAAAATGCAGTTTTCAATTTAAATCTTCATGGATAGGCTTCCACTCGTCACTTATATATATACAGCCTTGGTCTTTGGGTTTCGAGCGTCCTTAGGTTATGTACACTATGTACAGAAACAACCTAAGTTTCGGCCACATGCTATTTACTATGCCAAATACTATTTTTTTTTAACATCTCTTATTCTGTTTCGCAGTCTCTACAACTATTACTTTTCTCTTACTTCCCTTATTTTTGTTTCAAAATTTATTCTCTCTGAATCAATTTTAAGTATCTTATTCCTATACTTATCTCACTTTTAATCTTTGCTACTTAACTCAATATTTTTATTACCGCATGACTCTTTCACTTTCTAATTTCTTATTTTAGTGTCACTACTAATTAATTATAGTTCTTTATACTTGCATGACATTCTTTGTCTCCTTTTTATGCCTGTTTTCTCCTTGTTTCACTTTGTGTAAAGACTTGCCAATTTTGCCATGTATTTCATTTTTGTTTTCACTTTCATATTGACTTATACTACTTTCTTATTTATTGTTTGACTCCACTCTCTATTCTACTGCAATAATTGATTTCCTTTCTATAATTTTTAATCCTTTTACTGTTTTACACCTTTTACCTTCCTTCTTTTAATTTCTATTTTAATAAAAAATGTTGTATTCATTTTTCAAACCCATAAAAACAATCTATTCTATCCCTTTCTCTGCATTTTTTATTGGACTATCCTCCCAATGTGCCTAATAGGTTTCTACTAATGATTGTAGGCCTTTTATTTCTTTTGAAATTTTTTGTAAACTTATATATTACTTTAACTGTTCATTTTAGTATCGCTTTTATTTATTCTACTTCTATTTCATTTCATGTTCGTTCTATTTATATTGTTAAGCATTTCCATATATTTTTAGTTGGATTTGTTAAACTTTCCTACTATTTACTATCTTCTGTTCTACATAAATTGTATCTTTTTGGAAAATAGTCTGTTCTCTATTATTGCATGTGTTATTTCTTTATTCAATTTCCAACCACTCAATTTGTCTCCAACTGTCTTTCTTATCTTATAAATTGTATTAATTTTCCCTGTTTCTTTTTCTTCTTATTTCCTTCTTTTCACTGTCCATCTATCGAATATCTCCTCTCTTTATTATATTACTTCTTAATCACACTGCTATTTCTTCCAATCATCTTGATCTGTGATTTATTCCTCAATTGTCTTATGACAAAATCATACAACAACTTTGATCATGCTTGGTAATATAAATTCAGAAGATCATGTTTTATAAATTTACTTGTACATGTATACATTTTAGTTTTTAAGGTAAACTTGCTTGAACTGAGCTTTTCTTTGCATTCTCTAATTTTTCGTTTTAAAAATAAAACCTGTAATACAATACAAACTGTGATACTTAAAATTAAAATTATTGTTACCTAATTTTATAGCTTATGCTTTATTTATTTATTATGTTTAGTTCTGATTTAACTTTTGTTTTTATGTCATTAAAATTAAATGCTCTTGTGAACTGCAAATTTGCTGTGATAAAAGTTATATAAAAATATGTAGAAATGAAATTAAATGTCAACCTTTTCTCATCATATTATTCTATGTTGTAATTAAGTTCAGATATTTAATAAAATAAAATAAATCCTACATTCCTACCTAGTTTAGTTTCCTAGTATATAATTAAATATTATCCATCCATCATAATACATACTTTGCATAAAACTATCACTATACATACAACTACAATTCTTCTCATCCCAAAAACTGTTCTACTAATGAGGAGCATAACAAGAGAGATTAGTTGTTGCAACACATATTGAACATACTGTGGAGAAATTACAATATTCATGTTTATCATATCATCAATATGATACAGGTATTGCCTCAGAGTGGAAGAAATTCTCCTAAAATTTGATTCTGTCAGAGGTTCAAGTTCCTTAAAATCAAAAGGCACATATCCCCTGAGGATTAAGGTGCCTTAAATTGGTAGAAAAAGATATCTCTCAAGGATTTGTGTGAATTAATCGGAAAAGGTACAGAATTTCTCAAGGATTCAAGTCCCTTAAATTAAAAAGGTATATCATATCTCTTGTCTGTAAGTTTAGGTCGTACAAGCTAATCTAGATTTCGAGCAACAAAATATCAAAGTATAATAGCTAAGTAATAATTAAGTTTATATTTTGAAGGTATGTTCATATGGTGCATTAAAATCTAACCACCAAGTTAATAATGAGATAGTCATCAAATTTTGAAAAATGTTTTCTTCAACACAAGTCTTCAATTTGTGCTAATTTGAATTTAATATATGAAAACAAAAGTACCGCTCATGTATAAACAGTATATATTCAACCTAAATGAAGAATGACAGCAGTACAACACAGCCTGGAGTACAAGATTTTAAACAAATTTTGCCCAACCTGTTAACAAGTTCAATCGGTCCCAACCAATTGAAATAAAATGAGGCTGTAGATACTAGTTCCTTTATTGAAGTAAGTACAACCTCAGGATCTTTGCTTGGCAAGATTGCACCAACTTAGTTTTATGTAAAGTTGTATAACATAACAGATGACTTCAAAGTTCCTGAATTAATCTTGCAACATTATGGCTTTAGAGAAAATTCCTATACATATAATTTGTATGCCATATTGGTCGAGCTAGCTTTATTTTAGTTTCCTGGAGTAATTATATCACTGTCATAGTTCTATGTTAATATAGACAACTAAGCTGACACAAGCATTATGCTTCAAAATTAGATATTCCTTTTAATCATCAGTTCATTAAAAGAACATTATACTAAGAACAAGGGGATGACAAAAAACAACAAATAATTCCAATAAATGTATTTGTCGTTGTCTATACAAATACATCAATATGTGCAGATATCGCTAAACAATGACAACAACAGTGAAATACTTGTTGTAAAAACACAATGATACATTGTCCACACAACACTAGATTGGAATCTAGAGATGGCTCTATGTAAGGAATGTAACAAAATAATATGGCACTTTGCTAAGAGACTGACAGAATGTACTACTTGCGTTAACTAAATCAAAATGTTCTACATGCATAAACATAGGCAGTGTAAAACCTCTACATTTAAATACTGCACTATAGTTATACTGTATACACTGAACATACTGTAAGCAGAATGGACTCGGCAACTCTGAAAAAAACTAAATCATTCGATTTCCTAATAGAAATTGGGATGTAATTGATCAAAATCATAAAATTACACAAGCTTATAGTGGGGATATTGTATAAATTTGATTGAAAGACAATAAAAAGGAAGTTTTAAAAGTAATTCTAACTTGTAAAACATTTAATTCCAACACATATATAAGATTCAGAATGTTTTAAGTGAATTTATAAAGATTATTATTTGTAAACATAAAAGTATGTCTCTAAATTTAACTTAACTTGATTGCTTTTTGGACTGTATTTTAAGTTGTTATCATAAACTAACGTATAATCAAATCAAATCAAATCAAATCAATCTTTATTCATAATGTGTACATGAGTCATACAACGGAATAGTGTCATTTCCTTATAGCTAACAGGGCTTATAATACATATTTACAACTGGTTATACTCCTCAATTGAATAAATAGGATTTGATGTAATAATGCAATTGGTGTAATGTTTTTAGTTGAGAGTTTTCTTTGTCTTGGGCACCTATACTCTTTTCCTATAGAAGTGGACTTACAGCTTAAGCTCTGCTTTATAAAAACCGGTTACTGCATTAGCACTAATCTTGAATCCATTAGAGTGTTCAATACCCCACACTCTAAGGTACATTGAAATCAATAAATCAACAAATCATTAAATTTAAATATACCAGGTTCTAACAGGTAACAACAGTAATTGCATTTGAAATGGATGTAAATAGAAACATCTTATGAAAGTTCCATTGAATAACTCCTCTGGCAATAAGTAGATTTTTTTATCATTTGTTTAGTTATTTAACAAATGAAATAACATAACTTCAATTTTAATTTATTGAGTCAAACTTTACGAAATTAAACTTTAAGACTACAAGCAGCGTGGTGAATATCTTAATACACTTCAACCAACGGATCTGACTTCACGTCGTGACTACATAGTTTATTCTCTGTGTCAACAATTTTTCATTTTGCGAGGCAACCAGTTGCTTTGGTAGATACCAGAAATGTTAACACAGAATGTGCTAATATACCGCAATTTTAAACAACCAGTTTATTGAATTTATACTTTCACTCAAGGGGTAATTGCAAACATACTTTTTAGCATACAATCATAATTTTAAACTAGTTTATTCTGTCTGAGATTGTTATACTTCTATTTATACTTTTAAGTCCATTCTGCTTTTTACTATTTGATTATTGGACACATTAAGTTCTAGACTACTTATTCATTAACAACAATATATACACATCGGTGGCTAAACAGTACTTGCTGAAATAGACATTCACATAAATTATGTCCTTGACATGATTCATTAAATGTTTTAGATAAAAGTTTATGGTAATCAAATCATACTCATTGGCTTTCCTTTAAGTGCATCTTTGGTAACTCTATTTGATTCTGCGGTAACCACCCTCTACTTGTTTTATGTACTAATTAGTTTTGAACGTGGCGTTGTTTGATTTTGATAAAATATTTTAACTTTTTAAGTAATCTAATAGGACTAAATCCAAATCAAATTTTGAATAATTCAATCTAACTCTTAGAAAATATTGAGAAAATAAAAAAAATCAATAATTATTTTTACTCTGTAAGGTGTGCGCCACATCCTTTTCCCACAATGGGTTGGTAAAATCAGTAACATCCTTAAACAAATATAAATGGACAAACATCTAAGTCCTTATAAAAGAAACTTAACTAGAAACTATAAAGAACATTATGCATAGGGTAACCTTTTAGAAACAGTAACATTTCAATATATTTCTAGTAGTAAAAAACTAACTTTGGTTATTAAAAACAAAATAATTAACATCCAATACTAATTATTTTCTAATTGATAATAACAAATGAAGACCACTTCTAAAATAATACCAATACAGTAACAAAAACTTAATATTTTGTTCAACAAAAATGCACCTTGTATAAGCATGCACCTTTCTAGTAATACTTCTTTGAATAAAAAACAATACAACTAAATTATATATGCGATAAAAACAAGAAATGTATTCTATACTAAAATGTTGTAGACACTGCAATTATTATGCTAGTGATTATACCTATAAACATACACAATACAAATATAACGTAGTAACAATAAACTTAAAGTACAAAACATTATTTGTTTCGAAAAAGTACCACCTTTACTAAACTAGATTATGTAACATCAGTCTCACTTAAGAAAAAACAAAAAAACTATGAATCAAATTCAGACATGGTTTACACTAGACTTAGTTCATTCTAACCTCAACAAAAATAAATTGCACAAATTCAAACTGTACAAAGCTTAAACCAGTGGAATGCTGTGTTAAATACTGTTTTGTTTGTGAATACATTTTCAAACATGTAAAATTCATGAAAGTATAAGCTGCACATTATAATACAATAAAAAGTTAAAAGGTTTGTGGGAGAATTCCAGTAGATTAAATCAAATTACAATAAACAGAAATAATATTGTAGCCTAATTGTTGGTTTAAAAATCTAAAACAGAGACCTAAAAAATTGTAAACAATTTCAACCAGGAACTTAAACGTATGTAATTTATTATTGTTCTTAAAATTGTTAAGGTTAAATGTTTTGTTACCTTTTAATATCCATATGTACATCTACCTAAACTGTATATTTCTTGGCAAATGCCACGTCTTCATTAATTGATCTTTATTGATTAATTAATTTTAAAAAATCTATAAACAGGACAGTGAATTATGACCACATTTTCATTAGTGTTTTCATCCCTAACTAAAAATCTTAAATTAAACTTCTTTCCTAAAATTTCATAAGGGTGGGTTAGCAGTGGTCTACTCATAATTACCTTTTTGTTTACAATTATTTTAAGTGTACATTCAAATTTATGGGTAAGTACCAACATTTCCAACAATACTTGTTCAATTACTCACTACTCACAATTCATAAACCAAGCATACTCTTGAAACTGGTAACTTAGAATATCTATGGCTTATTTATTAATTAAACCTTAAAAGGTGGAATAGACATTGTCCAATGCATGCCACCTCAGTAACATGCACACTAATAATGATTGTAATATTGTTGTACATAATGTTTACTGGTAGTGTCGGGTGGGTGGGAGAGTCAAGTCTATACACACGGTCTCGGGGGGAGGTCGTGGAGGGTAGCCCATGAGAGGGAAGGGCTTGGCAGCTGGGTTGAACATCATGCTCGGAATCGCCATCTGCTTACTGTGCATCATCTCGTGAAACATCAGTTCACACTTTTCTTTGAATTTGCATCCACAAAACTTGCAAGAAAACTCTTCTTGTTGCGGGATCAGGAAGTGGCTGCCGTTAAACATGTTCTCGATGATGTTGTTGAAGCTCCTCATCCTTGTGTTGTAATTGTAACTCTCGTCTCTTGAATGGATCTTCATGTGGTTCTTCAGGTTCCCTTTCTGACTGAATCGTTTCTGGCAGACTTTACACGCAAAGGGTTTTTCACCGGTGTGCAGTCTGAAATGGCTTTCAAGTCCACTTTTTTGGCTGAATGTCTTCCCGCAGATGCCGCACGGGAAGGGCTTGATACCGGTGTGAAGTCTCATGTGACTCTCTAGGCTGCTCTTCAGACGGAACTTCTTGTCGCACATGGTACAGTCGTAAGGTTTCTCACCAGAATGTATCAACATATGGGCATTTAGATTTCCCCTCAGATTGAATTTTTTGTCACATATATTGCATTCAAAAGGCATTTCCCCAGTGTGCATGCGGAAATGGGCGTCCAAACTACACTTGAGTCTGAAGCCTTTGTCACAAACCGTGCAGACAAACGGCTTTTCCCCAGTATGAATCAGAGCGTGGGTGTTTAAGCTGGATTTTAATGTGAATTTCTTGTTGCACACTTCACACTCGTACGGTTTCTCCCCGCTGTGCAGCATCATATGACTCGATAGATTTCCTTTCAAAGAAAAACTTTTATTGCATTGTGGACATGAAAACGGCTTCTCACCAGTGTGTATTCTAAAGTGAGCATCCAATGTGCTTTTGAGTCTAAAGCTTTTGGGACATTCGGAACATTGGAAAGGTTTTTCTCCTGTATGAATGCGAAAGTGGGAATCGAGCATGGACTTGAAGCAGAATGCTTTTCCACAGACTGTACAACTGAAAGGTTTTTCACCCGTATGGATTCTGAGATGGCTTTCCAGGCTGCTTTTGAGAACAAATCTCTTGTCACATTCTGTACACGCATGGGGTCTTTCTTCTGAATGAATCAACGAATGGATCTTCAAGTTTCCTTTAAGAGTAAATCTTTTATTGCAAACTTGGCATTCAAAGGGTTTTTCTCCAGTGTGAATTCTGGTGTGACTCTCTAAGCTTCCTTTCAGTAGGAAACGTTTCCCACAAACTTGGCACCCGAAAGGCTTCTCCCCTGTATGAGTCAATAAATGGTTGTTCAGGGTGGTTTTCAAAGTGAACTTTTTATCACAAATGTTGCAGTTGAACTGTCCCTCCTCACTGTGAGTAAGGAGATGAGTTTTCAAAGTACTGTTTTGAAGAAACTTCTTATCACAGAGATGGCATGAAAATGGTTTCTCGCCAGAATGAATAAGCTCATGAATTTTTAAATTACTTTTCTGTTTGAATTTTTTGTCACAAATTGAACATGCATATGGTTTATCGGCCGAGTGGACAAGTTGGTGAGTTTTGAGGTAACATCGCTGGGTAAAACCTTTTCCACACTCAAGACAAATAAAAGGTTTTTCCTCCGAGTGCGTCGATTCATGAGCCTTTAAGTAGCATTTCTGGGTGAAAGCTTTATCACAAATGTTGCATACAAATGGACGCTCTCCACTGTGGATTAACATGTGAGATTTAAGATATCCCTTCTGACTAAACCTCTTGTCACAAATTTCACATGCAAAACGTTTTTCATCTGTATGAATTAAGAGATGTGTTTTCAAGTAGCATTGCTGGGTGAAAGCCTTATCACATACATCACACACCCAAGGTTTTTCATCAGTGTGTGTCAACTGATGATTCTTTAAGTAACATTTTTGAGTGAAAGCTTTATCACATAGCTCGCAAGGATAAGGCCTGTCATCATTGTGAATCATTTCATGACTTTTTAAGTAACTTTTCTGTGTAAACGACTTATCACAGATCTTACATATCCATGGTTTTTCCTCTGAATGTGTAAGTTTGTGTGCTTTCAAATAACATTTTTGCGTAAAAGCTTTATCGCACAAGTCACACGAGTAAGGTTTCTCGCCACTATGACTCAGTTGGTGGGTCTTCAAATAAGCTTTCTGTGTAAAGGACTTGTCACATTGATCGCACTGATAAGGTTTTTCGCCAGAATGCAAAAGTTGATGACTTTTCAAGTTGGCTTTTTGAGTAAAAGCCTTGTCACAAACATCACAAATATAAGGTTTAAAGTTGGCATGGACCATTTGATGATTCCTCAAGTAAGATTTCAATGAAAACTTCTTGTCACACTTGTCACAGGCAAATGGTTTTTCTCCTGAGTGTTTCAGCTGATGTGTTTTCAAGTAGCACAAATGGGTAAACTTCTTTCCGCATTCTTCACATTCATGAGGTGTTGGGACATTGTGTCTTTTCTTATGGATTTGTAGCTTAGTCTTGTTGTTGAACGTCCTCCCACAAACATCACAAGTTGGAAACACTCGTTTCTTGTGGTTCTGGGCAATATGTGCATCCAGCTCTTCTTTAGTCAAGAATCTTTTTTTACAGTTTTTACACCTCTCCGACCCATGTGTTACTCTATGATCTTTCCAAACGTCTTTTGAACTGAATGTTTGGTGGCAAGTTTCACATTCATATGGTCTTATTCCACTGTGATCCACCATATGAACTCTCAAGTTTCCTTTAAAAGCAAATTTTCTCTCACATGCAGTACACTGGTAAGGGGTTTCCTCCTTATGAATTATAGTTACATGACTTTTTAAGACGTATTGGTTATAAAATTTACTATCACAATAATTGCAAACAAATGATTTTCCTCTTGAGTGACTCTCTAAATGCTTCTTCATGTTAGTTCTATGATTGTATCTTTCTCCACACAGCTTGCAGGCAAAGGGTTTGATCCCATTGTGCAGCATTTTGTGACTTTTCAAAGAGCTATTCTTATTGAATTTTTTGGGACACTCATCACAGCCATAAGGTTTTATACCATCGTGCACTAATTTGTGGTTTTTCAAAGTGACTCTACTAGTAAACCCTTGTTCACACTCATCACATTTGAAAGGTCTGGTAGCCATATGGGTAACTTGATGGTTCTTGAAATTCCATCTATGAGAGAAAGCCTTTCCACACTCTCTACAAATATGACGTTTGGGCCCGTAATGGACCAGTTGATGACTTTTCAAATAGCACTTTTCAGTAAATGTTCTGTTGCATTCACTGCAAGAGATGTTTTTCAATTTCGAGTGAACGAGCATATGACTTTTCAAGATTGTTTTTAAAGTAAAAGTTTTGCCGCATACATTACAGGGGTGAATTTTGTTTCCGGTATGTGTAAGTTGATGAACTGTCAAGTAACTCTGCTTTGTGAAGCCTTTATCACAAGTGCCACAAATAAAAGGTCGGTTTCCAGTATGTGTCAGTTCATGGCTCTTCAAGTAACACCTGTGCGTGAAAGCTTTTCCACAGAACTTGCAAGCGAACTGCTTCTGCCCTGTGTGACATGTCATGTGAGATCGCAGATCTTTCCTAGAAAAGAACCGTTTACAACATTTATTACATTTAAAAGGTTTTTCAGCTTTGTGCTGCAGGATGTGTTCATCAAGATTTTCTTGGCTTGTCACTTTCAAGTCACAGATGAAGCAATCAAACCAAAGAACTCCAGAATGAGTCAAAGAGTGAGATTTGTATTCTGATTTTGAGTTAGTCACGAAATCACAAAGCTGGCATGGAAATGTATCCCTGTTATTGTGCACCTGATAATGTCCCATGAGAGTTCCTTTCTGAGCAAACTTTTGGTCACATATTTCACAAGAAAGTAGCCGTTCACCATGCAGCAATGCATGAGTTTTCAAGTTACTTTTAGAAGAGAATGCCCTGTTGCATACTTCACATGTCCACGGTCTTTCACCAGAATGAGTATTAGCGTGACTATCCAAACTCGATTTATTAGTGAATTTTTTATCACAGATTTTACAGCTATAAATCTTCTCTTTGCTGTGTAGAAGAATGTGAGCATTTAAATTACCTTTCAAGCTAAACCTTTTTCCACAAGTGGAACATTCAAAAGGCTTTTCACCCGTGTGAAGCCGAAAGTGGTTCTCCAGACTTGTCTTTGATCGGAAGTGTTTACTACAAACGGTACATGAGAATGGTTTCTCTTCTGAGTGTGTCAACATGTGAGATGTCAGACTTCCCTTCAGGCAGAATCTCTTATCACACATCTCGCAAGCAAATGGTTTGTCTCCAGTGTGAATCCTACAATGGTTTTCCAAATTGACTTTTACTCTGAACCTCTTGTCGCACTGGGTACAAGCGTACGGTTTTTCTTCTGAGTGACAAGCCACATGGTTCTTGAGATTTGACCTTGTTATGAATTTCTTTTCGCAGATGGTACATTCGAACGGACGCTCACCTGTATGTGTCATCTTGTGAGCCTCCAGGTTGTTTCTCTTACTGTACGCTTTCCCACACACCTCGCATTTGAAAGGTTGGACGCCACTGTGTATTAACAGATGACACTTGAGCGTGCTTCTCAGTCTGAAACGTTTGCTGCAGATAGAACAAGGGTAAGGCTTTTCACCAGTATGAATAAGAATGTGACTAGCGAGTGCCTTCTTTGTTCCAAATGCCTTACTGCACGTGTCGCACGAATACGGCTTCTCGCCACTATGTTGGAGCATGTGATTGTTCAACGATGTCTTCAAGTTGTATTTCTTATCACAAAGGTTACATTCAAACATATTTTCACCCGTGTGCAACCTTTGGTGATTCTCCAGTCCTCGTCTGTTCCGGAACTTTCTGTCACATGTAGTGCAGGAGAATGCTTTGATCCCCATGTGAACATCTATGTGACAATTCAAGCTAGCTTCAGTTGGAAATTTTTTCTCACATATCCCACATGAAAAAGGCATTTTTCCTGTATGAAGAAATCGGTGTGCTTTCATATTTCCTTTGAAAGCAAAACATTTTCCACAGATATCACATTTGTATTTCTTTTCAGTGCTGTGAATTAACATGTGCTTCCTGAGAGCGCTGGGGTAAGGAAACACTTTGCTGCAAGTATCACATTTGTGTTCATTAGGTTGATTAATATGAAAAGTGAATATATGACTCCTCAAATTACCTTTTTGAACAAAAATCTTTTTACAATAATCACATTGAAACGTCTCCCCCTTCTTACGAGATGGTTTGGTAGTCCAGCTATAATCCTTTTCAGTCACTTTTGGCTTTGTTTTCTTGGCGTATAGTAAACTCTTCATTAAGTTCTTTTCTGCGGGTTTTTTCCAAGCCTTGAAAAATAAACACAATTTGTTAATACCACCCTAGGGATAATGCATTTTATTTTACACCAATAAACAAATATAAATAAAATTATAAAAGATAAATTTAAATTAAGTTAAAAAGGCAAAAAATAAACTGGATTCATTCAAATTTATAAAGAGATTCACTTTGGTTTTATTAACATAATTTAAATATCATACCTTTTTAAATACTCTTGCAAGTGTGTTGGATTTGTTTATAAATGACAAACGACAACAAAACGGCACACGGAAGATTTCTCAGGTGCCGTTTGACGTCACTAACTGCTGACGTCACTTTGAGGGAACACCATTACTGCAACAATACGGTTTTGAGCCATCGGCCTCGGTGGTGTAATGGATAGCGTGTCGGGCTGATAATCCAAATGTACCGGGTTCCAATCCCGCTGGTAACATTAACTTTTTGTCAACAATTTTTTCATATCAGCACGTTTGGCTGGTTTGGTTAGGTTATGACAGTTTAATTTAATAATAGAAAACTTATAAAATTGTCTGTTTCTTCAGACGCAGCAGTTAGTGACGTCAAACGGCACCTGAGAAATCTTCTGTGTGCCCCACCGCAAATGACTATTCTTTATTGCACATAACATCTGTTACAGTTATTACAAACGTAATACACAGACAGGTACATTGTTAAGGTTTCTTATAAATAAGGAATTCTAAATATATAAAAACCCTAAGATTTAGCTAGTACCCCCTACAAAAGCTACAGCATGGTGGAACTGTTTATGTTAGGAGAAGTTGATGAGAAAATGGGTGTCTGTTACCAGGAGTCATTGAAATATTCCTCAAGAGTGTAATATGCTTTTTCTATTAAAACTGTATTGATTTTGTCTGCAAATTTTGCTAAGTTTAATTGCTTTAAGGAGTTTGGAATTTTATTGTAAATTTTTAAACCCATATAGAGAGGACTTGTTTCATATTTTTTTAAATTATGAGTGGGGTATTGAAAAATGTCTTGTCTTCGGGTATTATATGAGTGATTACTAAGATAATTTTGAAACATACCAGGATTTCCATGAACCGTTTTTTTAAATATCAAAAACTTATATTGAAGTTAGAGTTTACAATTTTAAAATTTCAAAACAATTGTCTACATGATGTTTTTTTTGGGGCAATTTGCAAGAGTTCTGATAATTGACTTTTGTTTTTTACTGTGGCTGTCCCCCATAATGTAATACCATAGCTTAAAATAGAGTACACATAAGCATAATAAACATTTTTACATACTTCCAAGGAGGTAACCTGAATTAAAACACTTAAAGCATATCTTGTTGGACTAAGTTTTTTGTTTAGAAAATTAATATGCTCTGTTCATTGTAGTTTACTATCCAAATATATTCCTAAAAACTTTACTACATTTGTGGGCGAGGCAGTAGTTTCTGTTCCAGTGGTTGAATTTCTCAATTTGAAAATTAAAACACTAGTTTTATCTTCATTCAAAAGTAAGCCATTTTTTAAAAACCAATTTGCTATTTCTCCAATTGTTTCTTTGACATCATCATGTAACATTTTAACAGTACTTCGTCTGATGAGAGCTGTTGTATCATCTGCATAAAGGGTAAAGTTGCAGATTTGACTTGAAAAATGAAAAGGTAAATCATTAATATAAATAAGGAATAAGAGAGGACCTAGGATTGAACCTTGCGGAACTCCATAGTTATTATTTGCCCAAGAAGAGTATTTGTTCCCAGAGGCGGTTTTAATTACTGTTCTTTGTTTTCTATCGCTTAAGTAAGATTTCAAAAGTTCTAGGCTATTATTTGTCCATGAAAACCAATTGCTGTAAGTTTTTTAATAAGAATTTTGTGATTAACACAATCAAAAGCCTTGGATAAGTCGCAGAACACACCAGCTGTGCACTGCAACTCATCCAAGGCCTTCAAAGCCCAATTTACAAAGTATAATTCACTCAAAACAATTATAACTCATAACTTGTTTTAGTAGTATTGCAATCTTTCCTGAATAGTATTTTCAGAAGAGCTATGTTTATGAACTGCCCTGATTAACACATAGTAGGGATCCTATATTTCAAACAAAATCTTTAAAGATGACAAAACAATATCCTCTCTTTACTGTAAATGAGGTAATTTATCAGAAGATAGTAAATATCGTGTTACATTCAGCAACATATAGGTATTGTATTTTCTAAATTGACATTTCTCATCAAAATCTAGTCTCTGAACAAGTCTTAAATTATTATAATGAAGTATTAGTGTGGTTTTGTGACATGTTCTTGTGTAACTATTAGCTACTACAGTGTAGATGAATATTCTTCAGTAACCTAGCTAAATCATTTTCAAAATAAGTCTTAATCAGCCACCTGGCCTTTCTTTGAAATTTATGCAAACTATAAAGGTTACCGTTGGCTATAAGGTCTGATCATATTTAGGTTATTTCTACTCACCTCCATTAAAGACTTTTCTGAGATTATAGAATTTTCCTCATTTAACTTTTCTTTGCTCATTTTGATCTGTTCTTCAGGAGTGCTTTGGAAAGAATCACATTCTTCGTCACTAAAATCATCTTCTAAATGAGGCTGAAAATACATTTAACATTAGATCCCAATAACTTTGAGAACCACACTTCATGTGTGCAACAGTGACAAATTGCAATAATACTCTAAACAAGAAAGAAACTCAGTAATAACATCTGAACAGCGCAGTTTTAAAATACCCCCGCCGCAGCAAACCTGCAGACTAAGCGAATTTCCATTAACCTGATTGGATTTACACTAAAATGCCTCCATAAAAATAGCGCATTTATTTCCTATTTAAATAGAATAAGTTTAACGAGTACTTAGGTTTGCTGCAACAGGGAGGATAAAAAAGATTTTTTTTTATAAATTGATAATAGTTTAGTAAGAAATAAAAGTATTTTCCAAAATCGATCAAAATATGTTCATAAACAAGCAAACTACCACGGTTGACTTATTCTCCATAAGAATAACATGGGAATTTCAAAATTACAATTTTTTTGAATTTTCTCCGTAACAAATAGGCGCATAACAACGCTTCAATATACTAAATTATTTGTTTTTTTAAGCTCTACAAAATGGTTTAAAAAGAAATTGTGAAATTTCGTGTTTTTAGGGTCAAAAATGGGAAAAACCTATTTTTACCCCATAAAACCCCCCATAAACCCCCGTTCCCATGGTCCGATCATGCTGGTTCGCGAACTCATTCAAGTTTATCCCGCCTTACACCTTCAAACCAAATTTTATCAAAATCGGACAAAAACTACTCAAGTTATCGTGCGGATGGACACATATATATATATATATATATATATATATATATATATATATATATATATCTATATATAGATATATAAAAATTTGAACGAATGGTGTTTTTGGCCTCTGGGGACATCAAAATGAAAAAGTAAATCGGTCCCGGGCTTAGGTCTTACCATGAGACCTACGGTAATAGCTACTTCCCTATAGGGAAATTCGCTAAAACTGGTGCGAAAAAGCAATCATGTGAGCAAGTGAGTTTCATACACAGGTCTGAACCAAGCAAATCAGATTGTGAGTTGGTCTACTTCAGATACAGCAAGAACAGATTAGATTGAGAGAAAACCAACAAACTATGAATATTTCAAAACAAACATTTAACAGCATCATCACCAACATGAATTTTAATCACAAAAATATTGTCAACAAGACCTTTAATGATGGCAACATAATCTCTTTTTACTTGAAGCATATTTATCTAAGACAAAATTAGCTATTAAACATACCTCCATTTCCTGCAATTAAACTACTCAGTAGCTTACAAATTTTGTTAAAAGACAGCAATTTCAAAGCTTGCAACTTGACAAAAACACAATTAAAACAAACAACAACAAACCCAGTGCCCAATACAAACATAAAAACTGTACGATTACACAATCATTTAGATAGCACTATAATAATAATGAATTAGTCTGATGCAGCGCGAGGTTGGTACCAGAGCCTGCCAGATTTTAGATGTAGGTATGAATTTTTATGTAAATAGCGCTATCTAAATGTTTGTGTTGTACACAGTTTTTATATTTGTGTTACTTAGTCTTAAAGATAATAACGACAATCGTCAAATAGGATAAAGATAACAATGGATGAAGTAAAACACCGCTTATTCTTTCTTCTTTGTTCTTCTATTCTTTCTTTAGTTTCTCTTCATCCACACATTCAACAAGTTGCCATGATTACTAATCACCCAATCACAAACTGTTGTGAGTTAGCAAGCCCACAGCAGACAGTTGTGTAAAGAGCAGATGATTGTCAGTGCAAGCAGGTAGCTTGACCTTGAAGCTAACAATGGCTATTTATTTTTTTTGCTTTAATTTTTTTTTGTCAAATAAACCGTCTCAAAAACAATAACGAGGGAACCTACTGTATAAAAAAATTGTCCGAAATATTTAGTCATACACTGAATTTCAACATATTAGACTGAAGAAAAACTATTTATAAAATGTTCTTGGTATTTTTGAGGTTGTGACCTAGTGAGATAACCGATCCAACCGAAGCCGAACTAGAGGGAGTCTACTGTAATAGTATATTTAATCAATAGGGTGTAAAGTGACTATTTTCGACCCGAGCTCAAGTTTCATGACCGAGTTGATACAGAGGTAGGTAAGTGATTCAATTTTATCGTCTATTACGATTGTGTTAGTATACATTATGCTAAGTCAAAAGCTATGTCGAGCTAATGAAAGAAGGCAACAATTAGCTGCAATCGATTAAAACGATCAATACATTCTTTCTATAAATGTGATTGTGTAAACAAAATAATCTTGGGGTCAAAAACATGAATTTTGATTCATATTTATTTCTTGTAATGACAGTGACATTGCCAACAATAATTTATAAATAAAAATACTTTTTAAAAATAACACGTTTTTAAACGCACTAAAAAGTATAAAATAATTTATAAAATGTTGAGAGAATAAATACTTGTAAGATTTAAAACGAAAAATGTGGGGCGCATGCTGATTTACAATTAACTTCACCTATTGAACTATTAAGATCTATTGCATGCGCCCCACGTTTTTCGTTTTAAATCTTACAAGTATTTATTCTCTCAACATTTTATATATTATTTTATACTTTTTAGTGCGTTTAAAAACGTGTTATTTTTAAAAAGTATTTTTATTTATAAATTATTATTTCGTTTTTAGTCTTTAATGTGTAAATATGTTAAATCTATTTTATATGGCCTCTTAATACATAACCAAAACCCAAAACCTTATTATCTGTAATCAGATGTTTTATCTTTACTTTGAAATTATTGTTTTATATTTATAGAATATCTCGGGAGCAGAACCTGTACCTCTTAACCTCTGCTCTTCTAACTGTCAAATTTAAGTATTTACAGCTGACTTAAATTAATTTATATGTTTACATTCTTTTAAAATGTAAACATGGAAAATTTGGAAGCCAAAGGGGCGTAGCCCAAGGGAAATATGAAAATTAATATTGCATTGTCATCCATTTGTGAGCGATGCTTCAAATTTCAAGTCTCTAGCTCATCGGAAACTTTGTTTAAAATTTATATCAAAATTTGTAGGAAAGGGAGCTAATGAAAACAAGCCCATGGGGCGTAGTCCAAGGGAAATATGAAAATTACATTATATAATATTGCATTGTCATCCATTTATAAGCTATGTTTCAAATTTCAAGTCTCTAGCTCATCGGGAAGTATCAAAATTTGCAAGAAAGCGATTTAATAAAAACAAGCCCATGGGGCGTAGCCCAAGGGATATATGAAAATTAAATGATATAATATTGCATTGTCTTATATTTGTGAGCTATGTTTCAAGTTTCAAGTCTCTAGCTCGTCGGGAAGTTAGTATAAAATTGATTTCAAAATTTGTACCGGACAAGAAAGCGAGCTAATAAAAACGTTTTAAAAACTACAACCAGCTGGCTGTATATAATAGTTGATTAAAAATTCTATTCAACTACTAAGTTATGTTTCAACACTATAAAATCACTAATACTGAATGGTTTTTGTTTTTACCTCTGGTTCCAGCTTAATTTCATATTCATCAATCATCTCTTCTTTCACTTCATGATTTCCAAACAGACTGAGTTTATAATCTTCACTGATCTCAAAGGCTGTTGCAGGTGGTGGTTCCTAAATCAGAAGTTTATATTATTATAGAAACCAAACTATAATAGTTGTAACTATAAACTATAAGTTGCAAAAACCCATGAGCAATGTTTTGTAGGCTAAAGATAAGCAATAAATTGTAACAGGTTAATGTTAAATGAACTTTTTCCACTGACCTTTTTGACATTCAGTTCCTTCTCCACCTCCACGGGACAGCCGATGTCCTCAATGTCACACCAACCAAACACTCTCTCTGTGGGCTTGATATCTTCCTCAGTCTTTAACATAACCTGCGGCTCTAACTTGGTAGTCATCTCCGTTTTCACCACACTGCCACTCCAAGACTCTCCGTTCTCTACATTTATCTCTCTCTTTACATAAGTCTCTCCAATCTCAGTCTTCACGTCCACTCTTTCCCGGTTCTCGAAATTACTTGTTCTAGCTAATGGGTTCTCATCAACAGACACCTTTTCATTTGCTACTTTAAAAAGATTGTCGATGAAATGTTCGAGTTTCTTTTTCTTCATGGTGTAATTCGTCGGTTTATGGTTGGACTTTCTCGGGCTTTTGTCTGTGTCGCTGTTGTTAGGATCTGGCAGGGAGAAAGCCTCGACAATTGTCGGGTGCAGATGGTTTGTGTCGGTCATTGCTCTGTTGTCTAGCGATGACTCTGTCTTCAAACCTTTCAATACGTCGACTCCCTGGGGAAATAATAATAAGTAGTAATTGATGATTTGTACATAAATCTCTCACATCGCTTCTATGATTACATTGCTATAATCTAGAAAGTGCCTGAGAATAGCACTGAAACGGCTGTAACGCAAGTTCTATTGGTTGAGCTGTTGGCAAAGAAAAAACCTATATTTAGTTAATAGCTTAGCTCAGGGGCTAAACATGGATTTTAATTTATGTTTCACATTTGTTTAGCAATATGCAAATATGGAAGTATGTTACTTTGAAATGTATCAGTATCATGAATACTTTTTGAAATTTATATGACAGAATTATATCAGAATTTCTTCACTGGCATTAATGACAGTTTAGGAACTATTTTAATTAGGTACATAAGTATCTTAAACTAAGACTAAAATCGTTTGGACACAAAATATGAATGCAAGAAAAGAAAACCTGCAAGGGAGAGGGAATCAATGGTGTTAGAGAGAACCGATTTGACAAGATATAGGAGCAGAAAGGAGAAATACATAGTTGATTGTATAGAGAAAAAGCAGAATATGGAAAGATCTAGGCAAAGCCCAAACCCAGAAATAAACTGAATATAAGGAAATATGTATGTGTGGACATTAACTAGACAAAACTAACAAATACTATTATAAAAGAGGGCATATTATACATGGCAAGACATCTGACTAGGAGCTGCTCATGACTATATTCATAATTTAGTAAATTATTGAAAACAAAAATTTGAAGCATTTGTTAAAACTGCACAAGATTTTGTTTAATTTACTGGTTTGAAATTAATCAGTGTTAGGCTATGTATTCAAAATGTAATCAATCTACAAAGAATGGTTTTTTTGTCAGATGATTGGAAATTAACATGTACAATTTACTATTGTATTGAAACTATTGTCATTCTTAATGAATGCACAATAAAGAATATTGTAAAATGAATTAACAAAGTAGCCTACATATGTAAATTCCTAAGGAATAAGATATGGACACCAACGGTGGAGTCAGCAATGGTGTAGGATTCTCAACCAGTCCAGCAAGAGTGCAACCTCTACATCTTCCGAACTTAGTTTTCAACTTAAAGCTCCATTCATACATTACTTACTTATAAAAACAAAGCATGAGAGTAAATTTAAGAGGTCCAAAATCATCTCTTTGTGATATTTGTTGATTGAAATTTAGGATATTTTGTGTTGTATCCCTAATTTATTGTTTCAATTATCACCATCCCATGTTTAATATTATTATGTTTCTGTTTACTTTTCACTCTTGTTGTAACAAATGTTGCACAAGCTATTAAACCAGTGTATTCCAAAAAAGGATTTACAGTATTAATTATTAGAGGACAAATAATAAAATATTTCAAAGATGTTTGGTATTAATTTAATCATTTTTATTGTAATTCTTCACGTTATCACTTTTATTGAATTTTAATAATAATTAAATTCCTGATTTGTGATTGTAAGGAGTCAACAAAGATTATAATTTCAGAGCGTGGTTATTGAATTTGATTTGCTTACTTGTGAAAGGTGCATGTACTCATTCTATTTAGAATAATTATTAATGTGATTAGTATATGATATATTGGAAATAAAGTGTTCCTCTCACAGCAGTTATTTCATTTGAATACGACCACGGTTACACCCTCGGTCACCAAAGACCAAACGTGATAATATCTTTGATGTTGAAAATATAAATATTAATTGGTGGTAAGACAATTTTTTAAGCACTTCCAAATAAAATACATCTTGAATTATTGGAAAAAGAAAGGTTGGGCATATAGCCACATGTGTTTTTTTAAGTATCTGCATACCATAAAATTAAAATGTAACAATCAATGGTAATATTGTGTGTATTAGAAGGCTACTCAATGTTAGTTACATTTTATGAAAGATTATAATTACAGTAGACTCCCTCTAATCCGGACACCTTTCAACCAGACATCGGTTTAACCGGACTACACATGGCAAAAATTACAACTCTTTAACCGGACAATTTTTATCAGCACATTGGTTTAACCGGTCTAGATCGGCAGGAAGTGGGCAATACTGAAACGACTGTTCTTGTGGGAAAGATTTGAGACCAGTGATCACAAGTCTAAATACAATGCTCTCCTAAATTTAAGTTCAATATAATGCTAAAAAGGGTAGTTTTGTGGTGTATGGTAAACGGTCTGTTTTAATGAGTTTTTGGGGGCTTTGGTTGAACCGGAAGAACCGTTATTCAGACTGGCTTCGGTCCCGAGGAGTCCGTATAAGGAGGAGTCTACTGTATAAACTTGTAGTAAGATGGCAATATTGTTCGTACACAGCTAGAACAAAAACCTATTGTTCACAGCCATCCACTAAAACCACAATAAAGATAGCATTCCCAGCACTCTGCAAGCTTACAAGCTTAAAACCAATAACAAGTGATTTTGCAAATATTATATACGGTATGGATAAACAAGCAAAGATTTTGTATCAACTGATTAAGACGTTAGCTTAGATGTTAGCTTAACTTATTAAAATGCATATGATCATACTATAAATTACTTACATTTGACCCAGTTGGTGAAAAGACACCTTCATCTTCTTCAGGGTGACTGAAAAATACAATGTTTGGTATTTACACTACTATTATAGTTATTGGTAAAATGTATATTCATCTAAAACCTATTAATTAAAACCAAAAATAACTGGGATGTGTAACAGCTAAACAGTTGGTATAGATTTTCTGTGACTTTTTGCAAAAATATATTTGGAAAAATGTATAAAATAATAATATTATGTAAGGCCAAGGCCACACTAAAAAAACAGGCCGTAATGCTCGTCAAGCATGACGTCGCGATAGAAGACGGCAATGACATAGGTATTTATTTATTTTCCAAGGAAAAATAAAAACAAGCAGCTGATCCCAAACGGCAAATATTATGTCATTGCCGTCTTCTACCGTGGCCTGTTTTTTAAGTGTGGCCTTGGTAAGGCCTAAAATTGTCTAACAACCTTAAAAATAAATCAGCTGAGCTGCACCAAAGAGGAAAAGATAAAAATATCAGCCTATCTCGCCATTTGACAAATATATGTCCCTACAGCACAAATTGTTATTGTAAAGAATTTGCTAGACTACTATTAGTAGGTACTGTCTTTGACGACTGAGATGTACATTGTATTTGTACTTACTCATGAATAAACTATGTCTATGTCTAAAATGTAATAGAGTAGAAGATCTTTAATCCGAACTAATTGGGACAGGGGGTAGTTCGGACTATTGAATAGTTCGGATTAAAGAACACAGTTGTTTTTACGTAACAATAGCTAGGGAAAAGTGAAAAATTCTTCATAAAGTAAAATACAGTGTTCATTTAATACAGTAGTAAAAATAGGGAATAGGAATAAACTGTACTGTACATTACAATTGAAATAATTATGGCGTGTATATCAATAAATACAGTATACAATAAAGAACTACTCTACTGTGTACAGCAATGAGGCGTTCGGATTAGTGGTCGTTCGGATTACAGGGGTTCGGATTAAAGAGGTTCTACTGTATTTGGAACATGACAATATTTTTAACTGTTTGGGAAAATTTATCAAGGAAACAGAAAGTACTTGCCTTTCATTTGTTACTACAGTTGAAAAAATCATCAAGACTGATGCAACTTCCGACACAAACTGAGGCAAGTTTTAACAGGTAGGCCAACTGATAAGTAACTCAAAGGTAGGCTTTGGTAGTTTTAGGAAGCATTTTAAAAACAGTTTATTTCTACACTGATTTAACTGTAATATTTTACCTAGAAATAATTTGTTCTACTGTAGGAGAACTAAAATAAACATAATATGTGGATTCCATGAAAAATTATGGTTAAAACTATAGTACTTTAACAATAAAAAAACACAGTTTTTGTTTTAAAAGTTAAAACTATAAAACTTTTACTTAAAGAAGTTTACTATCTTTCCTCCTTCATAAAAAATCCCTTCCTATATCCTATGTTTGGGAAAAAATTGTTTAGTTATTTGTCTAACTTTTATTGGGGGAGTTTTTTTTGCTATTTTCAAAAGACAATGTTTCACCAAAAGGCTGTAAATTGCGCTTTGCACCCAAGGAGTAATAGTAGGATAGTAGTGCAAGCTCTTTAATAATTGAAGATTTCTTCAACACATTGTTAAGATAGCAAATCCTTATTTTTGCCTTTTTTTGTCAAACAACATGTTTTTTTAAATATATAGCAATACATAATTACCTGAAGATGGGATGTATGGGTTTCCCATTGGTCTTCCAATAAGACCCTTCAAATGAAGGGCCAGCTTCCATGATTCCTGTAAAACAACATTCTATTTATAAATCCCTACAATTTTAGCTCATGAAAATAAAAGTTAGTCAACAGGGCTTTAGCCATTTTCAGTAAAGATGGCTTAAAACAGGATAAATCACACCTCGTCAAGAATTTACAGCCAAATGGTTACAAAAAGCAAACAACAAACTTGAGAGAAAATAAATAAAAAAACTTCTGACGAAAACTAAAAACAAACTTTTCTACCGTATGTCAAGGGAACCTCTGACAATATTAAATACCCCTGCCCCAAACAATTTTTTGTAATAAGTTTTACTCTCACAGGTTTTCCAACAATTATGTTGTTTCAAAATATCGTTGTATGATTTTCAACGACCTATTAATTAATTGATTCCACAGCTAAAACTATTAGCATTGATGTATAGTACGGTAATATATACCTATACAAAAAATCGCGCCCACCTTTAAGCACATGAGACAATGTGAGATTGCATTTCCATATTACCATTGCTCGGTAACTTACATTTATTTAATAATCCCAAATAATAGATAATAAAATCATCAATAAAAAAATCGCTCATTGGAATTCTACAGTTTGTCTCGGTTTTCTTAATTTCACCATTAATCATTTTCAACACCTCTTCAAACTGATTGGGCGTTAACCCTAGCGCTGGCAAACGCCGGATATACGGCGCAAATGCAGGTGTTACGGTAGGCCTATATATAATTTTTTTTTTTTTTTTTTTTTTTTAGTTTTGTTCCCTCTTTAGGGCTACTGTTGTAATAAATAAGTTAAATAATACAAACCAGAGTACCCTGGAATTATATATTATACTAGCTGGCCCGACAGACGTCGTCCTGTCCTATTGTGGTTTTATGTCACATGCTCGTTCATTTTCAAGATGAGCTTGTTCGCATGGCTCAATGACGTACTGGTTGAAGTTCGTTCGCTACGCTCACTCACCTTAAGGTTGGAGCTCGTTCGCTGCGCTCACTTGCCTTCAGGTTAGCTCGTTCGCTACGCTAACTCGCCTCCAGGTTGAAGTTTGTTCGCTGCGCTCACTCACCTTTTGGTTGCAAATTAACTGTTCTCATAAATTAAAAATAAATATAGTACTGCACCCTGTTGGTAAACCTATTAACTTTTTAATGCTATTGAACATCACAGAATCAAATTGTTTAGTTGCACCAGCTGTTAAGATTCTTTAATTCCATTTAAATATGAGTACTCATAAGGTTAACATGGGAAACTCCAGAGCCACTGGGGCGGAGCCCTATTGACGGATCTGCACCAAACTTCACACAAACCATCCTTGAATAATGCTTAATAATGCCTGAAAGTTTCATTACAATCTGTCGAGCGGTTTTGGAGTCCATAAAGGACAAACATACAAATATACAAACATACAAACATACATTGGATTTTATATATATAGATAAGGTGTACGGTTTTGAACATGACCTGGGTTGGATGATTATTAGGTAGGTACTAGCGCGGGGGTACGATCGACATAGTAATAAGGCTATCAAACAAAATACACAAAATAAGCTATATAAACTATATATTTTTGGAATCAGCACAAAATTTACCACAACTTTACAATTTACCTTATGATGATAAGTCTTACATGCACTTAGCTATACTACGGAATATAAAAACATAAAAAAAAATTAATAATGCCAAAAGTACAACCTTGTCATCACTATCATCACTACTGTACCCTACTTGAATCAAGCCATGGAACAGAAAATCCGGACTGATAACATGTGGCAATACGCACAGACATTGTGTACACCTCCACCGTGTTGTAGGAGGAATGACCAACTTCCCTACAGTATTTGCATTTGCGAATGAGTGGACGTTTAAAACGTAGCTTGCAATGTGAAGGGGGGTAGCATCCATCCGAATCATTCCATCCGTCCGCGGACGAAATTATTGTCCGCGGACGCCAGTGTGAAACCGCCTAAAGCCACCGACTCACCTAAGCTTACTACACTTTATAGGTACCGGTAATATGAAGCAAAGTGTATGCACTGTTCATGGGATGATTGGGATTTTCTAAACCTTGCGCTCAAAAAACCAATAAACTTAGGCATAAATGTAGGTTTAAGTTAACTTATAAGTTACTTCAAAAAATTAGGTATCATACATTAATGGCAAATTAACTTAGGTAAGGTACTGTAAGTTATACATTTTTTATTAAGTTATAAAAAGTATCCTTTGAACTTTTAAGTTTTAATGGTCAAATTTAGGCCTAATACTAAGTTAAAATTAACTTAGTGTTAGTTTAACTTACAGGACAAACTTAACTAATAAGACCCTAACAACTGTAAGTAAGTTAAGAAAAATATTTGATTGTTTTATATCTGTTTCTAAAGAGAGGTTTCCGAATCCCAAAACATAACTCAGTTAGCCTACATTCTTTTAAATGTAGGTTACGTTACACAAGTCCTTATTAATAAGTGTCCATATTAGTCTATGGCATACCAAAAAGCTATTGGTTATTTATTTATTTAACTTACCGGTATTTATTTTTATTTTACATAAGTTACCATCGGACAACTCCATTTTTACATTCATAACTTACAACAAAACAAGATGGAAACAATAATTCATAACAATAATGTAGCATTCGCGCTGGACTTAATAAAAATACATGCATTTGATAATAAAGAATTCTGCCTAAGTTAATGATTAAAAAATAATGAATAACATTTACAATAAATGGTTATGGTAGGCCTAAGTTAGGGCCTAACATATTTTATTCAATAAAGGGTTCAGCCTTGGCAATTTAAATTGTAAGCATAGGTAACAAGGAAAGGCCAAAACCTAACCTCAAAGTCCTTTCTTACAGTTATTACTGCATTCTCAACTAACAATAATATAAATAATATCCATGGGCTCAAATAAACTAATAAGTCAAGCTCTAGCTTAGTAATGACCAGAATTAAGTTTGGCTGCAGGGGACGTCATTATCATAAACATATTAAAATTATTAAGTTATGATAATATTCATTGTTTAAACAAAGTTGATTTAGCAGCATAATTTATTTTAGAATGAGTTATCTTAAATTGAAGAGATATTAAAAGTTAAATTAAAATGGAAGTCGAAAATGGTGCTCATTGTAATGAACAAGCAATCGGATTCTTTTCTGATTGACACAGACGCCTTGGGAAATGCTAAGAATTTATGCAAGACCGGTGAAGTAAAGGAATTGTATTTAATATAATTATTAAAACGTATTCAAAACACTAACCTTACATCAAATGCATAATTCCAGAATAGTTTACTCTACATCTTAAAAATTGTTAAAAATACTAATCAATAACTGAATTGTAAAATATGATGACCACCATTACATTTCTTATTTCATAAATCAACAATAAAAATAAATGGAAAATTCTGTAAGCAGCTGCTGCGTTTTTACATCTCTGCAGCTGATCTTTTAAAACAGCTGATAAGTACAAATACATTTCAAGCAGAAAGAAAAGAAGAAAGAATTAACATGGAGTGGATGGATATTTCGGAATCGGAAGAATGAGAGAAAATTAATCATAATTGGAATATTTGCAAACTTGTACTAAGTTTACTCTTTGAGTTTATAGACATTTAAATTCATGAAAGTACTAAACTAAACAGTTTTATTAGTTATGGTTAGGTAGCCTATTTGTTATTGTGACTGTCAGATGGTGATGTGCAGTTCGCGATTTTTAGGTTATGTAGGTTTGTTTTGAAGAAGTCAAAACATAAAAATGAATTTGATTTCGCAATTAATTTTTACTTATCTAAAAGCGATTTTTTTGTAATTTTCATGTTTACATAAACTGTATTTTGTATTTTTTAATATGACAAGATTGTTCAGAAGTGGATTACGATTCATAGGCCTAGACATGGTAAGGTTATGTCCTCAACACAAACAACCTAGTTATTTAATTCATTTTCCATATTTTATTTTACCACCAGTAACAAATTGTGAATCCCCTTGGTATAATAAAAGGACCTATGCATCAGATAATACCAGATTCACACCAGAAAACCAGTTAGCAACACTTGATACCTTTGCGGAAGTTGACAAGAAAAACAAAGAAAGTTATCTAGATTTGTTACATTTTTACAAAGCAAAAGAGAAACGGAGGAGAGGTCATGTAGAATTTATCTATGCGGCCTTAAAACACATGAAAGAATTTGGAGTGCATAAAGATTTAGAAGCTTACAAAGCTTTAATGGAAGTGATGCCTAAAGGTAAATTCGTCGCTCAAACTTTTTGGCAGTCAGAGTATCAGCACTACCCAAAACAACAGCAATGTATTATTGATTTGCTCACAGAAATGGAAGAAAATGGTGAGTAATTTTCATTGTAATTATTCTAACTTAATTTAGGCTGCACTTTACTTAACCCCTTAACCGCCACGCACGAGATATGCCGGGCGATACTAGTTTTCAGAGCAACCGCCACGTACGAGTTATCTCGTGTTGACTTAATCAGCTGTTGTGTTTTATTTTTAACAGCTCACTTCCCGCCTTATCTCTGATATACGTACGTAAACAAGTTGTTGACAGTGCTGCTTGACTAGTGCTGCAATCTGGTGGATTTTAGTGGTATTATAGGTCAGTAATGGTCCCGATCAGTTCCGTTCGTAGTTTCAGTAAAACCTGTGCTTGCGGAAGCTTACGTAATGCTTACGTACATTATGCGTGTCATTATAATTGTGATTTTTGGTGGTTATTTACTTGGTAGTGTTGAATGAGTAGTAAATATTAGTCGTAATGGCTGGTGACATGCTTGAGGATGACAATTTATTAGAGTTGTAGACTTTATTGTAGGCCCAATTTTTATTATAGGCCTAACTCAAGAAACCCCCGAACCCCCCCCCCCCCATCACAAATTTTAGTATTGTTAAAGCTTAATGTTTTTGAAGATGTCTACAAACAATATTGATAACTATATTCTTTAAAAAAACAACTGGTACAATTTTTTAAATCACAAGTAAAAACGGCAAAAATAAGTGGCAATGGCAGATTTTGATTAGGCTACTTAGACGGCGGTTAAGGGGTTAAGGTCCTACGCTCATTCGAATGAAAATATCGATTGTTCATGTAAAAAATAGATGAAGCATACTCTCTTGTGTTGCTTAGTCTAGGGTTTTAGTATAACTTCAGCTACACCTAATCATCTAATAGTAGGCTATTAGCATTGAGTAGGCCTATACTCAATGATATTAGTACCTATACCTATTTAAAAGTTAGTAGTGCAGTTAGTAGTGCTTATACCATTCTTTTACTTAAAAGGTAACATGGAAATATTTTCTAAATGTGAAACCAAACTAAGTTAGTCATATACGAGGCTTGTCTAGAAAGTAAGTACCGTTTCGTTCTACCTTAGATAAAAGGAGTATAGACACTCCTTTTATCTATGGTTCTACAGCCGTCACAGCGCTAACAACTGTTACCCGCATGCCAACTAGTCTCCGTGGTTCATTGTTGAACAGCTGACACAATTAGGCTACTGCAAAATTTAGTTATGTTTACATTAGTTAGGGTGCACTCAAAATGTTTGAAACAGTTTCTGATCCCGTGGACTGTGAAGTGAGTTCTGTAATACGATTTTTGAACGCAAGGGACGTGAAGTCTCCTGAAATTCATCGCCGACTTACAGATGTTTATAGAACACAAGTTCAGTGATGGAATGTTAAGAAAATGGGTTTGGCAATTCAATAATGGGCTAACCAATGTTCATGACGAGGTTTGCAGCGGGCAGCCATCTGTTGTGAGTCAGGAATTGGTTGAAAAAGTTAATGAAAAAATTTGTGAAAACAGACAATGCTTTCTGATGAATTCCGACAAATTTCAAAATCTCTTTTGCAAGATATTGTGGTTAATCGCTTGATTTATCGCAAGATGTGTTCCCCTTGGGTTCTAAAAATGCTTACGGTACGGCAATGTTTCTCTTCAATGGCGGCATCTTTCTGTGAAGAGGGTATAGAAAAGTTGGTTCCTCGCTACGTTAAATGTCTAAACAATGGTGGAAACTATGTACAAAAATGGTTTAAGATATCCTCTTTCTTGTAGAAATAAATTTTGTTGAAAAAAATTATCTTTATGTTTTTTTTCAAAAACGGTACTTACTTTCTGGACAAGCCTCGTATATTAATTAGGAAGGAGGATTATATTATTGTTATTACATTCATTTACGGTAGGATTAAGAGCACAATTTGATTTAAATTGTAAATTTTAAGTGTAATTTTTAATTTTTTAAATCCTGTGATGGATGGAAGTTAATTCAACCAATTTTAGTCAATCTTTCGTATTTTAAACTATGCTTTTGATAATAGTCTAGATAGTCTCTTCCCCCATAGTCAGTAAACTAATCATTGAAAATAAAGTCAGTGTTATTTTATTACTTACCCACCAGGTGTTATCCCGGATGAAGAGATGGAGGATTTGTTGATCAACATTTTCGGTCGGAGGTCGTATGCCATCCGTAAGTTTTGGCGTATGATGTACTGGATGCCCAAGTTCAAGAATCTGTCGCCGTGGGCTCTCCCAGACGATCTCCCAGACAACAGTCTGGAACTGGCTAAGCTTGCTATTGCACGAATAACCAGCGTGGATCCGGGCACTAAAATAACTGTGTATGAGGTAAATAAAACTCTTGGTGTTTTGGTAGATGATTGAGATGGTACACTACTATAACTTGTTACCATATAAGTTGTTGATTATGAAATGAAACTGTTCTAAACAAACCTAACCTAACCACAGTTTCTGTAACGTTTCAAAATTCTGTGTGATATACCCCACATGCTTATCTGTTATAAATTTTTAAATGTTACACCAAGCTTGGTTAGGTTTTAGAACAGTTTAATTTTGTAATCAATATGTATTATTTTTGCCTTAATAAGATCAGTGCTCAAATTTATATTTTAGTTCAAACATCATCACATCACTAAAAAATACGGTTTCGTAAAGTTGGAAGTCAATAGTATAATAAATTTAGGAGTTGGGGGCAGATAACAGATTTTGACCCCCTTTTGAACTCCATGTATTATTTAATAATCTAAATATGCCTATGTCTGATCTGTTCATGATTCCCTTCCATTTCATAACTATAATACACTTACACTGTCTTTGTTCTTCTATGGAGCTAATCTATTTGCACCACCCAAAATTACATACACTCAATTTTTTGTGTGTTCATTTTGGAGCTCTGGTCTTATGTGACATAGTTGTTCTATAACCATTACTGGAAACATAATCTTAAAATTTATTGCGGGTTGCGTCTACTTGACCTAGTTTGGATTTTTGTTGTTTGAATTTTGACTCTGGGACAGTCAAAATTGTTGGGTAGCTTATACTAGTAACAACTTTTTAAAAAAGTGATAGGCCTACTTCAAGGAAAGTTTTGCAGGTTGTTTTTATTGTGCCCTATCGACACTAGTGGCATTTATTAACGTCTTAAGTAAGGGAACGGTCTAAACCCTGGGCTTGTTACTATCTAATGTTGATCTGTTTTTATAAATCACCATTTATTGATAGCCCAATGACAGCCATCTGGGTCTAGTAACAATCTCGCTTGGAATCGAACCAGCGACCTTCAGATTTTAAGACGAGCACTATAACCACTCAGTCACTCAGACAATTAACGATAATGGTTGTGATGTCTTTAAGACTAATAGTGTCATTATACATTACTTGAAGCTTGAAGCATATGGCTGTTTCATAATGAACAGTGAGTTTGTAGAATGGAGTCACAGAAAACATACTAGGCATGCGGCCTCAGGTCCGCCAATTGAGCGGAGTAAGCAAGCTTTGATATAAACAAATAACTTTAATTTGTTTTCATGATTCAAATTGAATACATGATGACGTCACCATAGCAACAATCCAATTGAATTCTCGTGGTTGGTTGGAAGAGTTGAAGGAAATATGATTTCAGTCAGCTGTTTCTATTAGGTCATTGATTTTTAATTGTATAATTGAGTAATAGTAAAACTGTGTGTTTGTAATAGCATAAAGATAAGTATTATTTTGTCAATATCCTAATGTTTGTTTAGCTCCCATTTATGTAATAGGCCTATAGGCTTCCTTCTCATTTTCTCCAACTAAAACATTTAGCCAATTAGTAATCTTTGCTCAGCGAACAGAATGACAGAAGAAGGTGACTATATATAGCAATACCATAGTCAATGGTCACCACAGGAAATAAGGCGTGGCTAATTTCACGAGCTGATGATACTCTGAAAAAGATGGTGGTTGCCGCAACGCTTGTGGCATTGAATTGGTGACGTTTGCGCTAGCTCCGCCCCATTGCCAAAATATAGGCATACTGTACTCAATAAATAGATTAGATTTTAAAGACGGCACTGGATAGAGAATTGATGAATTAAACAAGAATATATTTATTCCTCATGCTAAATTACAGCATGATTAAGTAAAATACTGTATATGCATAATAAACTACTGTACAACAAAATTATTAAAATCAAATATAAAAGACGTTTTTATATTAGGCTATGGCAATTTAATTTGAGAACCTGCACTGTGTTGATGTACCCTAAAGCCTATTTATTGGGATATACTAAATTTTCAACCTGGCATAAAAATGCCAAAATGCTGTTCTGTTAGCTGTAATAATTCATCTTATAGTATTACGGAAAAAATAGGAATATTGTATCACGCTTATTTTATAACTGGACTCCCGTACAGGCCAAGCAGTCTAGGCTCTAATTTTTGTAATTATTGCCTTATTATCTTCATCTTTTACCCAAAAGGGATTGATGGCGTCAGACTTTCAAATAAAAAATATATACATTTAAATAAACAGACATAAATTACTGAACATATATTTACATCATTGGCATGTGTAATTGTAACTGTGTCTGTATATCTGCACAGAGAAAATTATTTCCACACTTATAAGCTATAAATTGGACAACACAAGTTAACAAGTATAGTTAAATATATTAAATATAAACATTTTAGGATTGTAGATACCTTAATCTAATCGTCATAAACAGTTCCCACAATCCGGACTACTCACCTCTACTACTTCCTTCACCACTTCCTACGTCGCGGACCTGTTTCCCTCCCTTCCCATAGCATTTTAAGATTGTAGATACCTTAATCTAATCGTCATAAACAGTTCCCACACTCCGGACCGCTCACCTTTACTACTTCCTTCAGCACTTCCTACGTCGAGGACCTGTTTCCCTCCCTTCCCATAGCATTTTAAGATTGTAGATACCTTAATCTAATTGTCATAAACAGTTCCCACACTCGGGACCGCTCACCTTTACTACTTCCTTCAGCACTTCCTACGTCGCGGACCTGTTTCCCTCCCTTCCCATAGCATTTTAGGATAACGGATACCTTAATCTAATCGTCATTAAAAGTTCCCACACTCCGGACTACTCGCCTTTACTACTTCCTTCACCACTTCCTACGCCGCGGACCTGTTTTCCTCCCTTCCCATAGCATTTTAGGATAACAGATACCTTAATCTAATCGTCATTAATAGTTCCCACACTCCGGACTACTCGCCTTTACTACTTCCTTCATCATTTCCTACGTCGCAGACCTGTTTCCCTCCCTTCCCATAGCATTTTAGGATTGTAGATACCTTAATCTAATCGTCATAAACAGTTCCCACACTCCGGACCGCTCATCTTTACTGCTTCCTTCACGACTTCCTACGTCGCGGACCTGTTTCCCTCCCTTCCCATAGCATTTTAGGATAACAGATACCTTAATCTAATCGTCACAAAAAGTTACCACACTCCGGACTAATATTTACCACAAAACTAATAGCAATAACAACAATTAAAAGAAATAATATGCTTGGAATAATTCAGTAAGGCCGCCTCAGAAATTATGCGAATCGGTGTATTGTTAATCAACGCTTGATGGTATTCATCGGACTCCTTTTCTATTGTACTGTCTTTTGTAAATAGGCCATATGTGCATGTGCAAGCTGATGTGCCCGTGGGTACAGAATGTCGAGTCGCATACGCTACGATTCTTTGTTTACATCTACGTTGTTATCTCGTAACCATCATGGCAACTCATAAGACTCATGTTAAACATTGAAAATTTTATGCCAGTCTTAAATTGTACACGTATCATCAAATTGAAATTTGTTTGTTTCGAAACATCAAAAATATTTGTCGAAATACCCCTGGTAAGTTTGGATTTAATATGTTCAGCCGTTATTGAGTTAATTGATTACATAGTTTGCATAAGGTCCGATCTCAAAGAGCTTCGCTCGCTTCGCTCGCTCCGCTCAACTACTATAACCCAGAATGCCAACCGCATGGTAAAAAGCATTAAGTGTTTTGAGAGAGCTTTTATCACCATTTTAGCGCCACCAACGTTGCTATGCTGAGTGCATAGCAACGCTGGTGGCGCTGCCTACGGATTGACAGGCAAAGCTCTCTCAAAACACTTAATGCTTTTTACCATGCGGTTGGCATTCTGGGTTATAGTAGTATGTTTTCTGTGGTGGATTATAAATCTTCCCTGATATTCTAGTGAAGTGCAAGAAACAATGGAGGCCCTTTGCTCACATGTAAACAAATGGAAAATTAAATCTATTACACTGGTTGTATTAAATATCAAAGGAGGAATGTCCAGCATAATTTAATCTCATATTTAACCAAATATTTCTGTTTCAAAATTGGCTCTCACTTGCAGACCAAGCAAGTGAAGGATGCTATAGACGACACGTGGATTGTGAGCGGAGTCAGTCCACTACAGCAAGAGTTGTTTGAGCAGCATGACTCTACTCGGCCACTCTTCGTGGAAGGCTCGTTCCGTGTGTGGCTGCGGAACTCGAGTGTTAGCTACTTCATCCTGCGTGCCGACCCAGCTCCTGACAAAGGACCTGAGCCAGATGTTGATGGTAATAAAAGTTTGTGGTGTTTTGTAGCCATTTTCAGTTTCTCTTATACTTTTGACACAATCTGAGGATTTCGAGTCAGTACAAATTGACAAGAATTGAAACTGTATTCAGAAGTTTGTGATCATTGGGCTTTATATAATTGACCCTGGCTAAAGAAACTAGTGATGGTCAAAACCAGAAATTTCTAATCTCAAAACCGAAACTAAAACTTTAAAAATTCAAATCCTGAATCTCAAATCTCAAAACCTAAACGCGAAACTTTTTATCTAGCTGGTTAAAAAGGTGAAAATTACAAAAAAATACAGGTAATAGTTAAATATTAAGTATGCAATCAGAAGTGAAAGAGATCGACTCCTGACCCTGACAATGTCATAAATACAGTTTCAAAAATAAAACTGCCAAAATCTTCAATTTTGAAACTTTTGAGTCTTGAACCTCGGTGATTGAATCTCAAAATCTAAACTTTTCCAAAGTTTTGGTGGTTTTGAGAGTTGAGATTTGTTTTTCACATATCACTAAAAGAAACGGCTGATCTTAGTGAATTACAAAGCTGAACAGACTATTCCACACTCACTCAGCATTTATTTATTATTATTTATAAAAACACATCTTATGCTCATTGACCCTCTTCAAATCCTGTTTGTTTTGCTATGAAGGTAGAGTGTCCTCTCGTATAAAATTAGAAGGTCTAGTGCTTTTTTACTTCAGATAGGGTAAATAATGTTGACTTTTTCGGGTCAAAATCAGTTGGTTTTAGAAAGTATTGACTTATGAAAATATAATAGTTATGTCACAGCGGGTTATGTAGCATAATCTTGTATCAATTGTAGTAAAAATGATTATTGGACAATCTTAGTAGACACTTACTACAGTCAGGAGAATAGAATAAAGACTCGTCTTGAAACTCAAGCCACTTACACTTCTCTAATATAAATTACCTGACCCGAGTTTATCCCAAAAATTATTTCTGCCATGAACTGATCTCTTCAAGATAGCTGTTGGCCTTACCCAAATATTTTGGGTACCTGCAACCCCCTACCAAAAATTCCTTCAGAAAATTTGGTATGTAACTGCTAAAAATAAGTATTACTATCAATCCTCTAAAATACATTTAGTTTACATTACTGTCTTTCTTATGAATCAATGTGAGGTGTATTGAAAGAAAGTTATGGTTGAAAAAGTACCCTTCAATATAGATAATGGGGGGAAGTACGCTGAATCAAAGTGCGATCTTGGTCTTGATTTGATCTACTCCTTGTAAAAATCTTAATTTGTATCTTTGAATTTAAACTATTAATAAGTCTTCTTTTTACGTTTTATTGCAGATATAAGACACATTGCGATGCCGTTATTTAGTGAAGCAACAGAAAGAGTCGTAGCAAAATCTGAGGTAAGTTTGAGTTGATTGAGTAAAACTATCGTAGCATTTATAAATTTACTTCTAGTGCTTTTAGAATAACAGAAAGAGTCATTTAAGTAGTAAGTTGATTACGTAATAAAATTATATAATTCCAATGTTGTAAAATCATTGCTAGAGATTGGTTATAAAATGCAATCTATTATATTATTAAAGTGATACAATCAAATTTTATGTAAACGGTTAAGGCCATTTAACAAATAAAAATAAAGGCATATTGCATGTCAAAATGAAGCTTGGAGTGTGTAGATCTGCCGAAAAGTATTGATATGGACGAACTCCCTAAGGGCTCGGCCCCACAGGCTGATTTCCAAAGGGCTACGCCTTGCATGTTTTGGAAGTTATTATTCGATTAATTTAGTGAACAACAGCTGGGCAATGCAATTGACGATATAGTTTGTTTGTTTACATTTTTGTTTACTTATTTTATTATTTACTTTTATGTTCTTAAAAGAAGTGCGGCGAATGGACAGTGAAGCTATTTCTAGCTGTTTGATACAATTGAGTGATTAAAGGTGTTCGAAACACGATGAATATGAGATTAACAAACCATGTATGTTCTTCGTTCCAAGAGGTTGTCACCGACCTTTAACAGGTCCCAATTTCATTGTAAAAGTATTAAAGTAGTGAAAGAGAGCTGCGTGTTCAGATACAACCTCGGCCAACCTTAGGACGTAAGGTATGAAGGTTCCACTGCTTTTAACATCCTTTCAGATGACAATTTCTCGAACTTGGGCTCTTTCAATGAAATATAAAGTCAAAGTTGATTAAATTAATTTAATGGTGGCCTCTGTTCACCCGTGAATTCACGGGTAGAACCTCTTGTAGCTGATTAAAGATGTTAACACTTTGACTTAATTTTCTTTTTTAGACTGCTAATTACTTTTTTTAATCCTTTCCACTCCAATCACGGGAGGCCTATTTTCTCACTAGCTCCATTTAATTTGAGACAAATTTGCATATTTAATTTGTTTACAAAATATAAATAACACCTTGATCTATAGAAGGTTTGTGACGGGTAATTTGGTAATTTGATAATATTTAATATAAAAAATAAATCGATTAATTGAAATCAATAATTTAAAATCATATAGGTAGGTTTGTCTAATTATTTAAAATTCGTAAACAATGTTTGCGAATTTTACTTATTTATCTTATGTTTGATTTTGAATTCTGTAAGTAGTTTATAAATCATTACGCTTAAATAAAGGTCCATTTTTGTTCTCAATTTTCTGTTTTTATTTTTCCTGGTTACCGTACAGCAATAACCTAGAACCTGAGTATAAAATCAAAAATGAGGTAGCTTAACTTACCTAACTTATTGGAACCCAAATAATTATATCCAAATTTTAATTACATTTAAATACAACAAAAAATACCGCAGCAGGTTTTTGTAATCTTTTCCAAATACTTAAAAAAAAATCTAAATAAAAATACAAGCAGAGTAGGTCTACGTTGTCATAGCGATGGGCAGGCCCGGCCCGTCATTAGAGTTGTGCGGCCATGACGAACGGCGGGGCTCCCCGCCAATTGAGTGGAAACGGTGTTTATATTGTATACACATTTAAACTAGTAGAAAGGATTTAAAAATGTGTTTCAAATTCCTAATTTTGTTTACTACTTGGTTGTGCTTTAAAGATTTTAATAAAACTGTTAGCTGCCCTAATTCCTTTGACCGATGACCAGACTGGCCCATGGTCGGAACAGCCAAAATGTCGGATATCGGGAGGAGCAAAGAAACAATAAACTTATACAAGCCAATGTATGAGTGAAAATTTTGAAATGTACGTTTTTATGTCCTGGCCTTTTACAGTGGAGTCCCGATAATCCGAAATTTGGTAATCCAAAAGTCCGCTTAATCCGAAACCAAAAATATATTTTGAAAATTTTTGAAAAATTTTTTTTATCAAACTTTTAACACAGTTAGCTGTACCTCGTCAAGAGTAGAGTATTTTGTAGAGTATTTTAGTAAATATTTCACCATTTTTGTTAATAACATTTTTCATTTTCGTCCGCCAAATCACAAATGGATTTTACTAAGTGATAATGCTGCAGCCACTAGGTCTAGCCTTAAGTAATGTGAAAAACAATCCTGGGCTCATGCCTGCGTCCTAAGATGAAAAAAAATTGTAAAAAACAAAAAAAAAATGTTTAATCCGAAATATTTGGTAATCCAAAATGGGCCCGGTCCCAACCATTTCGGACTACCGGGACTCTACTGTACTTCGTAGATACTGAATATGCAGTTTATCATTATGTGTTTTAATATTTTTTGGAACGGGGGCAACATGTTACACACCATTATTTGGCTTTAAATAGGTTCTAGGTATTTTTTTTGTATTTTTAAAGTCTCGAAACTCACGACCGTCACGTGTCCCTAGGGTACATTTTGCAACTTTCATGCTGTTTTTAGAATAATTATTCGTGCCGAAATACATAATGTCATTTTTTATTACATCAATAGTTATTAAACTTAAGAAAAAGGAGCATATGATCATTTTGTTTTCATTGTAAACTGACTACCATGACTAAATAGGTCTGTCCCTCAATTTGACATCACGACCATTAGGGAAAATTTTGCAACTTTGGAGCACAACATTGGCAAGCCTGGCGTCGACGGAGTCAGTTGGTTTTAGAGACTAGTTCGGGGTGTACGTAGGATTGTAGTGCCAGTCTTTTCGAGTTGAAAGGAGGAATTAAAAGATTAATAAATGCAAGTTTGTGTTTTTTGTAATTTTGGTGTGTCCATGACCGCACGTAGTCATTTGATGAAGTAGATATGGTGTTAATTTTTGTTTATAAGATATTTCAATTGCTAGATTAAATGTCCACTTTGTATCCTCGAACATGAGGTGCAGGGCTTATACAGACTTAAATACCTCCGTTGCAGCATACCTGCAGACTAAGCGAATTTCCATTAACCTGATTGCATTTACACTAAATTGCCTCCATAAAAATATCACATTTATTTCCAATTTAAATAGAATTAGTTTAAAGAGTACTTAGGTTTGCTGCAACAGGGAGGGTAAAAGTTTTTTTTTGTTTGTAAAATGTTAATAGTTTAGTAAGAAATGAAAGTATTTTCTAAATTCGATCAAAATATGTTCATAAACAAGCAAACTACAACAGTTGACTTATTCAAAAAATCACCAAAGATATTGCGTTACCATTGACATTTTATGAAACTTCAAATGTTAATAAAATAAAAATACCCCCGCCGCAGCAAACCTTCAGACTAAGCGAATTTCAACTTGTCTGATTACATTTTTACTAAAATATTTCCATAAACCAGACATATTTATTCCCAATTTAAATAACATTAGATTTAACCAGTGTTTAGGTTTCCTGCTACGGGGAAGGTAAAAAGTGTTTTTTGACCATATGTCAATAGTATAGAATGAAATAAATAAATTTGCCAAATTTTATCAACATATATCCATTAACAAGTAAACTACAACAGTTATAATTTTCTCCATAAGAATAACATGGGAATTTTAAATTACACTTTTTTGAATTTTCTCCGTGACCGTTAGGCATAAAACAGCGCTTTGATATACTAAATTATTTCTTTTTTTAAGCTCTACAAAATGGTTGAGAAAGAAATTGCAAAAATTTGTATTTTTAGGGTTAAAAATGGGAAAACCTATTTTTACCCCATAAAACCCCCCATAAACCCCTGTTCCCATGGTCCGATTATGCTGGTTCGCGAACTCGTTCGAATAAATGTAGGTTTACACGGTTGTACCAAATTTCATCAAAATCGGATCATTTTTGCTCGAGTTATCGCGCTAACGGAAACATATATAAATATATATATTAATAAATATATATATATATGAATTTGAACGGATGGTGTTTTTGGCCTCTGGGGACCTCAAAACGAAAAAGTAAATTGGTCCCGGGTCTAGGTCTTACCATGAGACCTACGGTAATAGCTTATTCCCTGTATGGGAAATTCGCTAAAAATAATAAAAGCTTCAAAAAACTGAATAAAAAATTTTTAAAGTGCTTCTCCTGAAAACGTATGTTTTAAAATTTTCACTCGTATACATATTATGAAATAATCTGTATTATGAAATTCTGCATTCAATATGATAAATAATTATTAATGCAATGATGTAGGCCTACTTCAATATATTCTTTATAATGGGACAATTTTATGGCTGTGATAACGTGATAATTTTCGCCTTTCGAGGGTGATGGAAAAATCATCATCTCTCCAGGTTAATAAAGACATTTTCATCATCTTCTGTGATCGCTGCAAAATCCTGGACATCCTGATCCCGGTTTATGATGTCTAGTGGGTCATTTAGACATCATGATCTTCAACCTGCTATCATGACAAAATCCTGGACAATCTGAATCCGGTTTATGATGTCTACCAGGTCGTGTAGACATCATTGTCATCAACCTGCTATCATGGCAAAATCCTGGTAAAAACCTCAACCTCATCCGCGGTTGTTTAATCATCGTCACCTTCTGCGATCACAGCAGTCGTGTACACATCATCATCGTCAACCTGATATCATGGCAAAATCCTGGACATCCTGAACCCGGTTTATATGATTTTTACCTGATGAACCTGGTTTATGATGTTTATCGGGTCGTGTAGACATCATCATCATTGTCAACCTGCCATCAAGGCAAAATCCTGAACCCGTTTTATATGATTTCTTCCGGGTCCTGTAGACATCATCATCATCAGCCTGCAATCATGGCAAAATCCTGGGAAAAAACCTCAACCTCATCTGCGGTTGTTTAATCATCGTCACCTTCTGCGATCACAGCAGAAGTCATAAATGTCTACTTCGGCTGTTTGGACATCATCATCGTCCCCAGGGTCTCGGCAAAATAATGAACATTTCCTGGGGTCATCACATTATACTCCTAATGGACTACTGCAATCACTGAAAATTTAATGTCCTCATTTGCAATCGCATTGACAGTGTGAATTTATTGAATGTGATCTTCTCAGACAAGTCCTGCAACCGCAACTACATTGTGACAGTAAAACCTCTGATTTAGCTTGATTTTCCATCTTAACATTCGCTTCCTCTTGAGCTTGTAGGCAAAGCTCAGTTAAACTCAAAAATGGTAATTTTTCAAACATTTTTAAAGCTTTAAAAGTCTTGGGTCACCTTAATATAAAAAATAGTAACAATGATAGAGCTACAAATTTTGCAACAAAGTCACTGGGCATAAAAATGATTTTAAAACAAATATTCAGTCATAAGCTACCACCGTCAAGGGGATGGCCCACTACGAGTCAGAAGAAAATCTTTGAGGTATACATTGATAAGTTGTAAATTGTATGCTGATCCTAAAAATATGTAGTTCATATAGCCTACATTATCTCTTGATATTTTTTTTCTATCTATAGGTGCCAGCAAAAACGGACAACAATAGTATTGTCCCGCAATCTTTTACACAAAGGACACATTTATTCAAAGAGCAATAAGAAATCAACAAAAAAAGTAAATTTATAGGGCCCTGCGTTAGTGCCGTATATCCCTAACTAAATTTTGAGTCTGGACTATAGTCCACTCTATAAGATAGAATATTTGCTTCCAGGTGGTGCACCAGCAAGAGGAAGGCACCATTTTAGCAGTGTGTGCGACAGGTAGTTCTAGCAGAGACTCTTTACTCAGCTGGATACGACTACTGCAAAAAGATAACCCAAGGCTTGGGGAGATCCCTGTGCTGTTCACTCTCAAGAGTCCTGTCGGACCAACAGAACCTATTAAAGAGATTGAGGGTGAAGAACTATTGCCTGTAGTCAACATAGACACTAATAAATAATTTGTAAATAGAAAATAAATAGTCGCTATTAGTCCTTTTTCATTTCTATACCAATGGTTTCCATCCAAAATTAATTTTGCTTATCGAGCCATAAATTACTGTGCGAGTGCAATAAAATCCAAAACTCATAAAGGGTATATTATTTAACCATTCCAGCAGCATCTCACTTCATGCTTCACTCATATTTGCGAAAAAATACACACTTTGTGGGGAGGGGTGTCTCCACCTCAATCTGTAAAATAATAACATTACAAAATTAAAATATCAAGAATAAAGAAGTGAGAGGTTATACATTTTGTTAGGACACTAAAGCCTTAGGCGCACAACGTCTCAAAATGCTATTTGACAGTGAGCCTGTAAGTATGGTATTGGATTTAAGACACTATAGTGAACTTACATAAACACGTATAGTGTTTATGTAATAAATTACCGTTTATCCTAAGCGAAGGGTGTGGCCTGACTATTAATTGTATAGTTAATTAGTATCCATGCTTATATAGTTACAAACTTATTCTGGGAACGAGAGAATGCTTAAATATTGAAATTCAGAAATTGAATAAAATGATTCATAGAAACAGTTAGTTAGGATAACTTAAGATGGCCTTGGGTAACTATATGGACCTTATGGTATGAATAATTATTAGTTATTAGTTACTAGCAGAGTACCTGTCCTTCGTACGGGGTTGGCATACAAGTATAAAATGCTTGCTACAGTTATGGCACAGAAAACATACTACCATAACCGTTATGGGAGAGGACACGGTTTAAGAAAATTTGGTATTTTTATTTATAAGGTATCCTATTAGTGTAGCACACATCTACCATAGCCCTAATGTTCTACCACTGCACCTAAACCATACGAAAAAGTAAAGTTTTCATTGTGTACCACAATTTTTTGTCCCGACAGACGTCGTCCTGTCCTAATGTGGTTTTATGTCAAATGCTCGTTCACTTTCAAGATGAGCTTGTTCGCATCGCTCAATCACGTCCTGGTTGAAGTTTTTTTTTCTACGCTTACTCACCTTTGGGTTGGAGTTCGTTCGCTGCGCTCACTTGCCTCTAGGTTTAGCTTGTTCGCTACGCTAACTCGCCTCCAGGTTGAAGTTCATTCGCTATACGCTCACTTATCTTCTGGTTGCAAATTAGCTGATGTCATAAATCAAATACCCCCGCTGCAGCAAACCTGCCGTCTAAGCGAATTTCCATTTGGCTGAATTGATTTTCAATTGATCTATTTAAATAACATTAGGTTTAACGAGTACCTAGGTTTGCTGCTACAAGGAAACTAATAACGTGTGTGTTTTAAGTAAAATAATTATTGCTTAGTATAAAATGAATATATTTGCCAAGTTTGATCAAAAGATATCTATAAACAAGCAAACTACAAAATTTTACAATATTCTCCATAAGAATAACATGGGAATTTTAAATTTACCGTTTTTTTAGTTTTCTTCTTACAAAAACACTTTGATATACTGAATTGTTTGTTTTTTTAAGCCCTTTAAGAAGGTTTAGATAAAAATTGGGAAACTTTGATTTTGAGGGTCAAAAATGAGACATTTTTACCCCATAAAACCCTGTTCCCATGGTCGATCATGCTGGATCGAACTCATTCAAGTTTATCCCGCCTTACACCTTCGAACCAAATTTCATCAAAATCGGATATATATGTCTAAAAATTTGAACGAATGGTGTTTTTGACCTCTGGGGACATCAAAATGAAAAAGTGAATCGGACCCGGGCCTAAGTCTTACCATGAGACCTACAGTAATAGCTACTTCCCTATAGGGAAATTCGCTAAAAAATAATATAGTGCTGCACCCTGTTGGTAAACCTATTAACTTTTTAATGCTATTGAACATCACGGAATCAAATGGTCTATTGTCGGTACCACGTAAGTTTTCAGTTGGTGGCAGCCAATCACAAGACGAGGCTAGTGCGACGTTGCCACATCACCCATTGACAACACTAATAAAAATATACAAAGCTATATTTTTACATCAGCTGGTATTGTTAGATTTGGCAACACCACACCGTTCTCATTGGTTCATTGAAAACCATATGGTAAATAGGCTCCTCCCTCAACTGCAAACTTATGTGGTCCCGACAATAGTTGAACCAGCTGTTAAGATTCTTTAATTCCATTTGAATATAAGTGCTCATAAGGTTAACATGGGGAACTACAGAGCGACTGGGGCGGAGCCCGAAAGGATTTGTCAGATAATAATATGCCTAAATGTTAATCGGGAATGTGAGCTATCATCATGCCAAATTTCAGCCCAATCCGTCCAGTAGTTTATGCGTTATTGAGCAACACACAAACTCACATACTTTCAGATTTATAATATTAGTAAGATAATAAACCTGCGTACTCAGCCAATTCCCAGCAGGTTTAACCAAAATAAGACCATAACAGCTAATAAAATGTTTAGTTTACATTTTGAAAACAAACTGTTATATTAATTAACTGTTATATTTTCACAATGATCGTGTAGCGTACTTTTCAACTGTACTATTTTACAAAGAAATTAAATTAATTAACTGTTTTATGTCATAACTCAAACTCAACTAACTTTATTTACCTTTTTTAAACAAACAACATCAAATAAAGATGCAGTAGAACCCACCCGGTTAACCGAAATCCGGGTTGACCGAAACAGCTCCATAAAATAATACATGGCTAAAATATTAGTACGTAGTGTAAAATGCTTTAGTAACTTTCAGTTGATAGTTTAAAGTTTACAAGAGGTCCCTATTCGCTTTCCACATCGCATTTTATTTAAATTATTTATTTATTTTAATTTAAGTTCTTAATTTTGTTTGCACGATCTATGTAGTCTTAAACAAATCTTTTAAATGCTTGGCTGCTATTTTAGTAACTAAATTTCTAATACCACATTCTAACAGTCCTAATTGGTTGCTAGTTCTGTTAGCCTAAAAAAATGCTATTATGTATGTCTCTAAATACAATACCTCCCCCCTTCAACGTTACGGCACGTGGTCGGGCTAGCTTCGATGAAACTCGAGCGTATGTCCTCTCCTTAATGTTTACACAATCCTCCTAGACTATAATGATGACTGCTGACTGGAGCTATAGAATACATGGGCTGACTCTTGTCTTTGATGTAGCACTTGCCAAAATGGTCCCACTCCCTTCTCCCCCCTCCCGGTGACGTCACCCGGCGTACAATAGAGCCTGTTGCCATGACGCAGCCAGAGAAAATCTTGGGCTTTTACACGCTACCTCAGAGGAGGCCCTACATAAAGACGAACAAGGAGTGTGCTTGGGATCCCGCGCTTTTCAGGGGCCACGCGCAGCCTTATTTCAGGTATTAAAAGATGAGGCCTGTCATTAGACTTTGCCTTGGCCCCCGTAATCTCTGGCACCACCACTAGGCTTTCCCCTACCTTTTCACAATTATATTTTTAACACTGCTTGCATAATTTTATTCTGCATTAACTAGAGAATCCAAATATCTAAACAGGTTTTAGTCTGAGACAAGTGAATTTGTTTTTTAGCAACAAATGTAGAAGATCTACAATATATTGAATCTTGGAAAAAGCGAGGAAAATTTTTATTTTTGGGTTGGGAACAAATTTTTAGCGAAACAACTATATATATCCAATAAGTTCTTCCACATAATTTAGTTATCATTTTTACACATTTCCAACAGTTTATTAACAATTTATCTCCAAAGACCATGACTGACATTTTTTATATCATGCTACAAACAGCAGTGTGGGCATGAGCGATGGAACGATCGAATAGTTCTGTTGTCACTCGCCACTTCGTGATTAATAATAAACGACCCGTGGTTTATCGAGAATTTTCAGACTAATTATTGAGTTTGCACTATCAATAAAGTTTTTTTTCTTAAAGTTTGTTACTATCCCTAAAAAAATAAAAAAAAACCTAGCGTAGTGCCTTTTTTAAGTAGTCATAGTCATAGTCATATAATCTTTATTCAGGAGTACAACATGTTGCACCAGAATGGCGTTATACAATTAAATTATACGAGAGGTCGTCCAGTGGTCGAAACTCGACCAAAAATATGTAATGTACTCACTTCTCTATTTTCACCCCACACTGTAAATAAAACATGTGATTGGAGTTTCTTCCGTTTGTTTTGATTTTCTGTTTATATTTCGTTGTTATTTCGTCACCAGCATGGCAACGCATAAAATCCATGTTAATTTTTTCAAATTTTTAAACTCATTTTTTGTGTTCATCTTTGAGCCTATTTAAATTTATGAAGGGATTCTGCACACCTACAGGAAAATTGCTTTCTAACGGTATGCGCAGATTTACCCCACGATGCACACAAGCTGAGAAAAAAGGTTTTAAAGAAACATGCTTGCCTATTAATATATAGATTGTTAGAACTAACCATAACTAATATAAAAAGGCTAAACAAAAATACAAAAGCTTATAACTTAAAAATTTACAACACATTCAACCAACAAATTCATCTAGGGAATAAATGGGCTTGGATAACATAAAAGTTTTTAGCTGTTTTTTAAATTTATTTTTGTCTGTTATTTGTAAAATATTATCTGGTAGAAGGTTATAAAATTTAATCCCAGCATATGAAGGTTTATTTTCAAAGAATTTTAAGTTGTGATTTGAAAAACTGATTTTGTGTCTGTGCCTTGGCCCATAGCTGTGGCATGAACCCAAGGTCTCAAATTTTGGTAAATTATTCTTTACAAACAAGATCAAATCAAAGATATATTGGGCAAAAACAGTAAGAATACCAAGTTTTGAAAATTGTTCTTTAACTGAAGTTCTCCAATCTTGAATGTTTACCATGATACGAAGTGATTCTTTTTGAAATAATAATATTTGTTCCAAATTTTCATGAGAGGTTGCTCCATATAAAATTATGCCAAAGGAGATGTGGGAGTGAATAAAAGCAAAGCAAATTATTTTTATTTCCAAAGGACATAATTTAGACATTTTTCTCAGAGCAAAAATCCCTGATGAAATTTTACGGCCAAGATGTTTAATATGAAGGTTCCAATTCTAATTTTTGTCAAGTACAAGTCCTAGGAATTTAAAATTTTGCAGTTCTTCTAGACATTTTCCTTCCATCAAAATTCTGTGTTGAGCTGGTTTATTACTTTGATATGTTGAGAAAGATATGCACTTTGTCTTATTTATATTAACTTAAAGGTTTAAATTGTTTAAGAAAGTATTTACGTGTGGAAATTGGTTATTTGCTATTGACTCTATACTTTTTGATGGGTATTACCCGATACAAGTAAGCTAATGTCATCAGCATATAAACAGACTTTAGCATCATCTAATACATCTGGTAAACCCTTTGTATAAATAACATATGAACAACAGTGGTCCCAGGATTGATCCTTGAGGCACTCCATATTTTAAAATGTCCAATGATGAAGTAAAATTTACCTTATTGTTGTTTGTGACATTAGTTATTTCTACATATTGTTTTCTGTTATTTAAATACGATTTAAACCAATCTAAAGCTCTTCCCTTGATACCCAAACAAAACAGGATATTTACCAGCTTGGAGTGTGACACACTATCAAAAGCCTTGCTGAGGTCCATGAAGACCCCAGTAACATTATTTCTCTTATCCACCGAATCTATTATTGATTCAATGAACTGAACACTAGCACTAATCACAGACTTGCCGGATTGAAATCCATGTTGTTCTTTATCTATCAAGTTGTTGGTTTCCAGAAATTCTGTTAGTTTTATACACATAGCTTTTTCATAGATCTTAGAAAATGATGGTAGTAAAGATATAGGTCTATAGTTTGAAGGTATGGCGGGGTCTCCCTTTTTAAAGACTGGTTTAATCTTAGAAATCTTTAATTTGTCAGGAAAAATACCTGTAATAAAAGAAGAGTTTACAAGATGACATAACGGATATTTTAGATAGTCAATTGCTGTTTTAATAATAGGCATGGGGATCTCATCATAACTACAAGAAAATTTATTTTTAAAAGACAAAACTATTGATTTGATTTCTTCTAATGATAGTGGTTGAGGAAGAAAACTTTTATTTGAGTGGCTCAAAAGGGGTGTTTGGATAGCTTTGTTGGGTATGTTTGGGATGACTTCTGTTTCAACCATGTTGGCATAGTACTGGTTTAGGAGTGCACTTACCAACCTGGGATCACTGACGTCTCTGTTTCTATGCTTTAAAGTAATGTTTTGTTGGCGGATTGAACTGCTGCCTACCTCTTTATTTATAATATTCCATGTTGTCTTGCAAACATTGTCTGCATTGCGTATCTTATCACTGAAAAAGTTAGTTTTAGCTCCAAGAATTTGGGATTTTAATTCAGTTTTTTTTGTTTTTCAAGGCCGATTTAACATTTTTGTCCCTGGTAAGCCGATTTAAATTACTTAGTCTGTCGATTTCCTGTTTACTCTGAACAATGTGTTGGTTCATCCAGCCTGTTTTTTTGGAAGTCTGTCTGCATTTTACCATAGGAAAACACAAGTTAAAATAATACATGAAAACATTGATGAACACATCATACTTATCATTTACAGGAGCGTTATAGACATCATGCCAATTTTCATGAGAAATTAAATGCATAAGTAAATGCATAAGTAGGCCTACACAAGTTTGTAATCCTTATCATTTTTGTTTTCTTTATAAAATTTGTCGATAAAGGTTTCATACGGACAATTGAATTGTGTAAATGTAGGGAAGCGAGCAGCGTGTAAATAAGATAATATGTATTTTTATGGGCCACGCGTAAGCTCGACCACAGCCACCTGGCTCGACCCGTGTAGTCCGCGCGGTGACGTCACAGCTACACGACAGTGGAACCCAGGGCTACGGATATACATACAGTGGAATCACTTTGCTCTTTGCTCATCGACGTCGGTCAACGTCGACGTGAGCCGTCCCCTTTATTCCCGCCCCGGGTCGCGTGTATCCTCATTGGTACATGTCAAGAAGAACTTGAACGAGCTTACAACCAGAGGCGATGTCCACTACCACGCTACACGTGGCTCTACCAAGTTAGATATACCGAGAACACGCCTAACAAGCACACAATGCCGTTTCCCTGCCATGGCATTGAAGCTGTTTAACAAGCTGCCTGAGAACTTGAGAAGCCTTTGAGACCAAGAAGTTTGAGAGAAAAATGAAAGACCAACTTACTCAGTCGGCCTATTTCTCCATCAAGGATTTCCTTGAGGATAATCTAGCGAGTAACTGACTCAAAACCCTACTTCACCCGCGAAGTTTGTGGGTTGACATATTTGTATATAATATATTTTTTTTTGAACATTTGATTTTTGCTATTTGATCTAAAATTTAAGAAAACTGACGCAGTTAATCCAGTAAACCTGGTCAAAAACGAAGAGATGGTATTAAGGTATGTTCTGGACAGGCTCACGGGAGCCATCCGTGACGTCATATTGCTGGTCCGCAGATACATGATGTCATACTTAATTATAAAATTAAGAACAATTATAAAACTAGTTTTTTATGAAATTAAACTGTCATAACCTAACCTAAACAACCAAACTTTCTTATAATGAAAATATCGAATGAAGGTCTACTAATCGAAGTAATAGTTCTGTTCACCAAATAAGATTATAAATGCCTCAAATTCTAACAGAAGATGTACAGTCATCGAATTCTAAGCAAAATCTTCGACAAAAATTTTGTGACACTGGTGGAATTCACTCTGACTACCTACTGAAAATTAGTGGAGTACGCTATCCACTACACCCACGACCACCACGAACACGAACACTGCTGGCTTCACTTCGTATCGTTTGCTGTAATGGTGTTCCCTCAAGAGAAGAGAGTACTTACTTTCCGTGTCCGGAAATCAGACTTCGCTTTCCCAAAAAACAGCTACCGATATGTATTTGTCATTCGCTTGTAAAAGATCATCTAATGTGCAACACTTGTCTAGCAGACTAAGCAAATTTCCATTTGCCTGATTGGATTTACACAAAAATGAACGTCTCCTTAAAAATATGACATTTATTCCATATCCATATTTTTAATATAATTAGTTTAACGAGTACTTAGATTTAGGTTTCCTGCAACAGGGAGGGTAAAACAGTGTTTTTTGTAACATATTAATACTTATAAGTAGTATGTAATTAATGCATTTTCCAAATCTGCTCAAATACGCTCATAAACAAGCAAACTACAACAGTTTACAATTTTCTCCATAAGAATAACAGGGGAATTTTAAATTTACAATATTCTTCGTAGCCATTAGGTGCATAATTGCTTCAATATACTTAACTATTTGTGTTTTTTTTAAGCCCTACATAATGGTTTGGAAAGAAATTGCTAAATTTGATGTTTTTGGGTAAAAATGTCCCACTACTCGCGTTGAACCTACGTCATGGAGCGTCCCGTGCGCCTTGCGGGAACTCGACCCCTTGTCCTTTTCACTGTGTGTACCATCGCGTAGATGTGAGGTACTTTCCTGACTCGAGTGACTCGACTCGCCAACTGCCGTGAACTCGAGTTACGAGTCGAGTCAGACTCAACTCGAGACGTTCCGAGTTCGTGTGAGTTCGGGATTCTCCGTACGAGTTCGTTTTGCGAGTCGGCCGACTCGGTACCGGCCAATAGCGTGTCAGCTTTACGAGTCGACTTGACTCGACTCGAGATGTTCCGAGTTCGTGTGAGTTCGGCATTCTCCGTACGAGTTCGTTAGTTTTGCGAGTCGGCCGACTCGGTACCGGCCAATAGCATGTCAGCTTTACGAGTCGACTCGACTCGACTCGAGACGTTCCGAGTACGTGTGAGTTCGGCATTCTCCGTACGAGTTCGTTAGTTTTGCGAGTCGGCCGACTCGGTACCGGCCAATAGCGTTGAATCTATGCGAGTTGACTCGTAAAGCTGTGACGCTATTGGCCGAAAGCGAGTGCGAGTAAACTCGAGTCAACTCGTTACGTCCCGAGTTCGTTAAGGTTCGGCTTTCTCCGTATGAGTTCGGTTTCTTGACTCGGCTTTTGCGAGTCGGACAGTGGTCGGACTCGTAACGTTACGAGTTCGTGTAGCTTCGGCAATCTCCGTACGAGTTCGTAAAAGAACTCGAGTTGGAATTGAGTTGACTCGACTCGGGTCTTGACTCGAGTCAACTCGACTCGCCAACTCAACTCGTCACATCACTACCGACCGGCGTAACCACTGTGCTTGTGCTATTAAGGGCCAAGGGGGTAACCTCCAAACCTCCTCTCCTGGAGCTCCTCTTACCTAACCTATAAATGAAATCGTGTATTCGTATGTTCATGTTGTCCGTTGTCTTTTGTCTTACTCAGTGTAGTTCTTTCTTTTCCTTGTATAGGCCTGGCCTTGGCCACAGATAATATAACATAACCCCAACTACTTGGCCTATGCCCAGCACAACAATGGCAACAGTTCATCATGTTCCCAACTTTATTCAGTTTTTATTTTCATCAAAACCCAAATTTGACTGTTATTTTGCAGTTAGGATAGAAGGCCAGAAAAACCCTGTAAGTGTAATTTTTCCATCAATTCTTTTGATTTTTCTCAGATATAAGTCCTAACTTGCATACTGAGGCATGCCCTGTGGTTGCAATACTCCCTGGTGTGGATTAGCGAGTGAGGATGAGTGAGTACTAGGACTATCCGCAGTACTATCCTAGATAGGCCTATCCGCAGTACTATCCTAGATAGGCCTAATTGGAATTGGACCAACTCAGCCTATATAGGCCTACCTAAGGCAAAAATGTGGTTCGGATTCCACCACAGTTTCTTACTGGGCTAAGCTAATGTCGATTGAAACTATCGATTCGATAAGTAGCCTAAACATTCATGCGTTTTTTTCACCATCAGCAAGTTTGGTTGGTTAGGTTAGGTTATGATAGATAGGTTATTTTACAATAGATATATTTAATAATAGGCTACTGATTATTAATAAACATTTTCAATTCGATAGTTTCAATCAATAAGTAGTTAGCATAGCCCAGTTAAGAAACTGTACCCGAAACTGGTAAGTCCCTTTAGTTGTCATTAGCTGTATGGGCTATTATTTAACAGCTGTGTCTAAGGAATATATTGGCCTTAGTCACTAACAAGCCTACAAGATTGCGCCACTCACATCCCACACTTAGGGTTGTTGCGATATCAGCAATCTATCGATATTAGATATCAATAACGATTCCAGCCTCTAATATTGATATCACGATAATATCGGATACAAATATCGATAAGTTATCTTCAATATTGAATATCGATATTACTTTGGAGGAATCTACTTTTTAATGACTTGCTTGAGCTTGTTTAGGATTTTTGATTTTTTTAGGCGTTCTGTCAGGAAATCTTTTTTGGCATATAGGCTATTTTACATTCATTTTACTAGGCCTACTACCAGTTGATTGTTATTACTTTTTATTTATAAGGACTAACGAGGAAGTGAAATTTGAAATTAATAATAAAAATCTAAGTGATGAACATAGTTTTGGAGCTTTAAACACAGTGCATTTCAGAACCAGCCTAATTTTTTGGAGTTACAATGAAAACAATAATTACCCCATTTGCAACAATTTAAACAAGGTTAGCACTGGTGGACTTTAGTTTAGGCTATAACTTAATCATCGGCGCTTGAGCTCTGACAACTAACAAGTGACAGCTGACAGCGCAACCAACACTCCAGCAATAAAAATCAGTACTAACTTAGTTCCTTCTACCATTCCATTTTTTTTCATTTTGTTTTGTCATAAGAGCAAGAAGCTCCCTGACTGCAAACCCGGTACCTATAATTAAACATACCGGGCCCCATGATGTAGGCCGAAGCGTACGCACTGACCTTTGGCACACCATGGGTGGATGACTTTAGGTCATCAGGCTCACCGGCTGCCGAAGCAACCCTTCGGAGAGAGGGTTGCCCCTCAATCCTAACCAGGGATACCAGCTACTTGTTTAAGCGTCACTCCACTTGGGTTCCCCCAGGTACAAAACCCAGGAGGACCATAGTGGAATGCCCTGGCGCATTTAGTGCAAGCAACACTCGGGACCTATCCAATCCCTGACGGGCGGAACCCGCCATCAAAGCCAGGAAGAAGGGGACCACCAGCAAGCTGATGGGAGAACCCCAACCACCTATTTACACCACTACCCGATCGAGGCCTTACCCAGTTGCTGGGAAACCAGAGGTGACCAAGGCGATAGATCCCTGAACACCCCTAGCGGACTTGAACCCAGCACCCGATCTACTTCGTTTGCCCGTCAAGCCCAACATCACTGCCAGGCCATCAAGGTTTCCCAAAAGGAGGCAGGAATAGAAGTGGGTCCCACCCGGATGAACCTATCCACCATAGGTGGCGACACCCTTAGCTCAATTAAAGTTCCAGGGAGAACTCCCCAATCTAGATAACCATACCTTCCGGTCTCAGAGACAGGGATTGGCTGATGGAGTGCACCCAGCCGTTGCCCTTACACTGCGGAAAGTTACGCTCCCCTAGAGTGTCCCTGTGAGTTAACGGGTACTTGCCCAATTTCACCTCCAGGAAAGGCTACTTCCAAAGTCGAGGATTTGCCACACAGAATGTTGGTCGCACAAAGCAAGCAGGCCGAAGCCCAAAGAACCATAGTCACAGGTAGATGGGAGATTGATGGCGCACTTCCACCTCTCCGAGAGCTAAAACCCCACCAACCTGGATGGAGGAATGTCACTGGAGGCTCCCCCTAAGGGGCTGGCGCTTACCAGACGTCCATGACTATGGCCTACTTGAAAAGCCAATACCAACACCGAGCAGTTACCTCCCCTTTGGGGGCTAGGTTTTTCACCTCCCAGGACGAGGCTACTTCCAGAGCCGAGGATATGCCTCGCAAAATGTCAGTCGTACACAACAAGCAGGACGAGGACGAAGAACTCAAGTCACAACCACAGTTACAGGTAGGTGAGGAGAGGCGGCGAAAGCGGCATCACTGAGAGCTAAACACCCCACCACCTTGAATGGAGGGAATGTCACTGGAGGCTCCCCCTAAGGGGCTGGCGCTTACCATTCGTCCATAACTGTGACCTGCCTGTTCAGACACCGGGAAATTTCCTCCCCTCTGGAAGAGCTGGGGGGGGGGGGGTTGGGGGGGGGGTGGGAGCGTGGTCGCTAGGCCACATACCCACGCCCCCTTGCACGCCCCCTTGGCGGGCGTGGGCCCCTTGCGGGAAGTTCCTTCTACCACAAAAAATATAAGTAACTAGCTATTCGCATATTAGTGAGGATTTTATCTTGTATATAACTTAACTCGATAAGAAGGTATGCACGGCCATCTTTAACTACAGGCCGCGGCCTGGTAGAATTGGCAACGTTGCGTTTGTGATGATTCAGGCGGTGGATGACTTAGGATATCTGAATACCTACCGCTCACCCCATTGCGAGTCTGCTCGTGGCGTGCCTCAGGGGCCAGTCCTCGGTCCGGTGTTGTTCCTTGTCTTTGTGAATGATCTTTCATCAATTGTAAATTCTGGAAACATTTGTCTGTTTGCTGATGATACGTCGCTCTCGGTTTCTGATCAAAATTTCGACGAACTCGAAATAAAGGCCTTTTTGCAAGCGAGCTTCATGATGCAGGGGTTCGAGGACAACTCATTGAGTCTAAATGCCAGAAAAACTGAATTTGTAAATTTTTCTATAAGTTAAGCAGGGAAAAACAAAAACAATTTCCTTTTGAATGATGTTGAGCTCAAGGCAACTGATCAGGTTCTTGGGATTCAAGCTTGGGATTGGTGCTCGATAGAAACCTGTGCTTTCATTATCTTGACACTGTGTGTAGAAGGATTGCTTCGGGATCTTTCTTCTCTGCCAACTTTCTAAGTTTGCAAAATGTGATGTAGTGATGTTCTAATTTCAGCATATTATGGAGTGATTTTCCCACACCTGTTATACGCAGTGGCGGTGTGAGTGTGGGAAAACGTCTTTCCTTTTCCGACTCCAGAAGAGGGCAGTTAGTCTTTGGTTTGAAAAGAAGAGCATCTTGCAGGCAATACTTTATTTAATCACACATTTTAACATTTCCCTCAATATACATTTTGGAAACTTTGATTCTCATTTAATAAAAAACTTACACCAATACCAATCTTCACTTACACATTCCTATTCACTACGTAACAGTTCTCATCTTAAATTGCCACCTCATTCAACTACATTTTTCATGAGACACTTTCATTACAATGGCATTAAACTTTTTAACCTCCTCCCTCCCTCCCTTCAGCTGGAGTCGGACTTGAACAGCTTTAAAAAGCAAATCAAAAAGTAAATACTCTTAAGCCGCGGTCACACTAGGCTGTTTAACAGCCGCTACTAACTAGCTGCTGGCAATATCGCCAGCAGCCAGCTGGATCTGAAGGGTTCACATTTAAAACCTACTAGCCGCTAGTACAGTTGTTGCTGGTGACTTGAAAGCTGTGATGTAGTGTGTTCACCATGTCATCTGTTGGTGTGAGTCGTGACGTTTTGAGACGTCATCTGCTCCCGCACCACTCTTCATCGACTTTTTCATTTTATATACTTCATTGCGATACGTATCACCTAAACTTTTAATTTTTTTTTCAATGGGGCCAATTCAGCTTGTAGTCCTTGTTCTTCGAGTTTTTCGATTAACTTTTTGTAAGCCGAGTCCTTTGCATTTCTGTTATTATAGTCTGCAGTCGACGCGTCCCACAGACATGGATAATTTCAAAATGTATCTAGAAAGGTAATTATGTCTCTACCTGACCACTTGTTACTGTCAACCATGTTCACTAATCTCAAAAATACAAAGAAAATACAGTAGAACCCAACCAACACTGCAAAACAAACTGGATGCATATTAATTCACCAGCCGCTTGTTAGCTACTAGGGGTTCACATTGGCTGTCTGGCGCCAGCGAGGAGATCACGTGACTGCTAGCGGATGGTAGGCAGCGCTCAAAAGTTAAACATGTTCAACTTCTGATTGTGGCTGGTAAACACCAGCCCGCTGGCATTTACCAGCCGCTAGTGCTGGGTCAGACTAGGCTGCTTGCTGGCAATATTCAGAAATATTAACAGCGGCTGTTTAGTAGCGGCTGCTAAACAGCCTAGTGTGACCGCGGCTTTAGCCAAGAGTTTTCGAGATTGTGTCGCTGATGGGCTTAGTTAGTTAGTTTCTTTTGTTGAAAGAAGTAATTTGTATAGTTTTATTGAAGCAACATTGTCTATTAAGTTTATTTTAATTTTAGTTCTACGCTATTAATTGACATGACCAATGCAAATTTTGTATTTGTTATTTTGGTTCAATGAGTTATGAGTTAAGTGGTGTGTACTATGGCCACTGGCATAGTACTTGAATTGTTTAGCTTTTTTGTTTTTACTCCACAATCTGACTTGGGTTTTGCTCCACTTCCCAACAGGAAGCTGTTCACGATTTTGCCGTGACCGCCGACGCTGTTCAATTCTATTCATTGTTCTTGATTTTACAGTGACGTTGGAATACGTTCATTATTACCTGTGACTACTTAAGTTGTTCTTGATCTAGCTGTAACCGCGGAAGATGTTTTTAAATTGTACTGTGACCTCAGAAAGTTGATTCCGCCGTGACCACGGATGATGATCTAAATTTCACCCTGATCGCAGACTAAAACATGGTTTTCCAGTGCATTTTTTAAATTCCTGCATAGTTCTCGATTCAACAAATTTACGCAAACTTCCCGGAATTCTCAGTCTGTATGGTCACCCTGGTTCTCATAGGGGGGGGGGGGGGGGGGGGCTCAAGCCCCCTCTTGCCGATATGGATGGACACCCATGATTATGTTCTTCTCTTTTTGATATTATTTTTTATCCAAGCTGTAATTTAGAAGTCCTTAAACTAGGGTTCAAAAGGCTGCCATTCTTTGGCCGTTTTGGTTGTTTTAGTCCTCTGGTATTAAAGGGTAATAGATCTGTTTGTGTACTTTTTCTGTGAATTCCTAGGCTAACTTATCTGTACTTTTGAGCTTTTTCTACTTATTGTTGTGTCTAGGAAATGTATTTTTTTCTGTTTCAATTTTGAACTTGATATTGTTATGTAACCTGTTAAACTTAGTTTTTTCAGGATTGGGTGTGTTCGCCTAATGAATGTTGAACACTAACCTGTAGCACAGGGCTGCCACCCGTCCCGATTCTGCCGGGACAGTCCCGATTTTGGTACCTTATGCCCGTATTTAAGCCTATGTTAATCCAGGAGGGAGGGGGCAATGTACCGATTTTTTCCTGACCTAAGGTGGCAACCCTGCCGTAGCAAGAGGCAGTTGACGATACATAGCTCAGTTGGTGATAGTCTCGGGTGTTACTTGTTTTGGGTATTTATCCTTAACATACCTATATTAATATAGGTAATAATACATGTAATAAGTTAATAGATCCTGTTCAGAAACACACTAGGCCTATGTAAACCAGTGTTATGCTTGTACTGTCAAAAATACCAAACTACAACTCTTATTTACTAATTAATTGCACATTACCAATGTCAAATTTACCTTTTTTAAGGAAAGGATTGGAGCTGTCAAGTTGATGTTGATGGCTCACAGCGAAGTTTTCAGACTAGAATTAGAGGACAGTGAATTGGCTGAGAAGAAAGATGTTCCTATCAAAGACATTCATCCTGACACCTTCAAAGAAATGTTGAGGTGAGTTTCTTGAACTTATTTGAAAGAACATATTCCATGTCCATCCATCCACATCACCAGGGGTCTTAGGGAGGAGGGGGTGTCAAGGAGGCTGCGACCCCTCCAAAATCCTTTTTTTACAGATGAACGTTCCACCAAATTCATCAGAGTCTATAGGCTACACTATTGACAAACGGGAGGAATGAATACAAACTCTAACCTTAAACTTGGTTTATTCAGCATTGCCTCCAGGATTGAAGACAATATAAAATAAGTTACATACCTTTATGTCGTCAATCCAAGGTTAGTCTTTTTAGCGACTAGTTTCGAAACTGACGTTTCATTTTCAAGCAGAAATAACTTTTATGAGCACAAATAACTTGGATAAAAAATGAAATTAAATTCCTTTACAAAAAGAAAGACTATTTAGCACTACTTTTGAGATCTTTGACTACATAGTCAATGGTTTTATGATCTGCTAATATTAAAAGTAAGTTACACACAATTTCAACTTATTTCAGATATGTTTATGGTTATGATACTACTGCTACAATGGGTTTTGATGAGGCTGATGATTTACTGTATGTTGCGGAGAAGTATTTGATGAAACCTTTGAAAGACAGCCTGGCTGCTAGACTGATGACTCTTTTGAACAAAGACAACATTTGTTCCTTGATGAATAACCCTGCGTGTTATACTCATCTGGAGTTGGACTCTGCCATTACCAAGGTTAGTTTGAGTGTTTTACTAGACTGATGACTCTAATTGAACTCAGACAACATCTGTTCCCTAAAGAATAGCCCTATCTTTTACACTCATCTAGAGTTGGTCTCTGCCATTACCAAGGTTAGTTTGAGTGTTACAAGCAGCCCTCCTCAAACCAACAAACCCCGCTGCCAACAGTACCTACGTAGAAATTAAAAATTAGATGCTGTGAAGTATGCCTGAAGCAGCTGAACGCATATATTGTCTTGGTTGCAACAGAGCTTTTTGTTCATTTTAGCAAATTTCCCATATAGGGAATAAGCTATACCGTAGTACTCATGGTAAGACCTGGACCTGTTACCAATTAACTCTTTCGTTTTACGGTCCCTAGAGGCCAAAATCACCATCCGTCCAAATTCATATATATATATATATATACTAGCTGACCCGGCGAACTTCGTATCGCCTAAGTTATAGGTTTCCCCTAAGACAGACCGATGGAAAGAAAGTACCGTTACGTTTAATTTTCAAGATGATCTCGTTTGCATCGCTCAATCACGTCCTGGTTGAAGTTCGTTCGCTACGCTCACTCACCTTTGGGTTGGAGCTCGTTCGCTACGCTCACTCACCTTTAGGTTGGAGCTCGTTCGCTGCGCTCACTTGCCTTCAGGTTAGCTCGTTCGCTACGCTAACTCGCCTCCAGGTTGAAGTTCGTTCGCTACGCTCACTCACCTTTTGGTTGCAAATTAGCTGTTGTCATAAATGTAAAAGAAATAATAGTGCTGCACCCTGTTGGTAATCCTTGTAACTTTAATGCTATTGAACATCATAGAACAGAACCAACTTGTTTAATTGAAACAGCTGTTAAGATTCATTAATTCCATTTCTCATAAGGTTAACATGGGAAACTCCAGAGCCACTGGGGCGGAGCCCTTTTAAGAATTTTGAAACGGGAAATAGTTTACGTCTGATTCGCATACCTACAGAATTTACACACCAAATTTCATAACGATCGGTGAAGTCGTTCCGGAGGAGTTTGCAGACAAACACTGTGACACGAGAATTTTATATATTAGATATATATATATATATACTAGCTGTGTACCCGTTCTACGCACGGGGATCTTATAATATTCAGTTGAAACCTTCTTATATAAAGAACAGCAGTTGGTTTGCATATTTTAAGATATGCTGGCCAAACTATTATACATAGCTTCATTTTATGTTGTTTTTTGTTGTTCCGGATCGGTATGACAATCAATAAAAGGTTAAATTACCTCTGTGTCTGCCGGTCGATCCTATAACGGTAGGCTTACTTTTATTTTTACTATCTGATCTCGTTTGCATGGCTCAATCACGTCCTGGTTGAAGTTCGTTCGCTACGCTCACTCACCTGTATGTTGGAGCTCGTTCGCTGCGCTCACTTTCCTTCAGGTTAGCTCGTTCGCTACGCTCACTTGCCTTCAGGTTAGCTCGTTCGCTACGCTCACTCGCCTCCAGGTTGCAAATTAGCTGTTGTCATAAATGTAAAAGAAATAATAGTGCTAGTGCTGCACCCTGTTGGTAATCCTTGTAACTTTAATGCTATTGAACATCACAGAACAGAACCAACTTGTTTAATTGAAACAGCTGTTAAGATTCAATAATTTCATTTCTCATAAGGTTAACATGGGCTTCCAGAAATTCCACGTCAAAAATCGACAAAAACTTGATTTTCAAGGGTTTACTGTTAAATATCTAACTGTCTCATATTCGATGAAATACGTCTAAAACCATCTCATATATGTATAGTATTTGGAAAATAAGTTTCAGGCGGGACAGTGCTATAGTTATTGAGGAGTAGTTGTAATAAAGTGCGTATTTTAGCGTTACCAAGAGAATGACAGATAGACAGACAGACAGACAGACAGACAGACAGACAGAAATTGAGATAAGGTTTGATTCGGTTTCTCTGACCTATGAAATGTAAAAATAACCAAAAAGTTCATTATTCTAAGCAATGTACAGACAAAACTCTAATTTTATTTATATAGATATCCTACTAATAATATAAATGAGAAAGTTTGGATGTATGTTTGTGACAAGTAAACGCGAAAAATACTGGTCGGATCGGGCTGACATTTGGTGTGATGATAACTCACATTCCAGATTAAAATATATACGCATTCTTTTCTCAAAAGTTCTTTCGGGCTCTGCCCCAGTGGCTCTGGAGTTTCCCATGTTAACCTTATGAGTAATCATATTTAAAAGGAATAAAAAAATTTTGTCAGCTGTTTCAACTGCACAATTTGGTTCTATGATAATAAATAGCGTAAAAAAATTATAAGGTTTACCAACAGGGTGCAGCACTATTAAACTTTTTTTAAAATTTGAACCAACTAGCAACAAAAAGCTGTGATATACAATGAAAACATTACTTTATCTATTGTTTAGTTGCAGTGGTAGAACATTATGGCTATAGTAGATGTGCTATGCTATACTATAGCTTACCGTAAATTAAAAGAACCAAATTTTCTTGAACCATGTCCTCTCCCATTGCAAACGCAAAGCCAAGTAATTATACTTATACTTATGCCAAGCATTTTATACTTATACGCCAACGCCGTACAAAGAACGGGTACTGTGCTAGTATATATATATATGTGTCTGTTAACCCATTAACTTGAGCAAAAATTATCCGATTTTTATGAAATTTGGTATAAACGTGTAAACCTACATTTATTTGAACGAGTTCGCGAACCAGCATGATCGGACTATGGGAAAGACGGTTTATGGGGTAAAAATTGGTTTTACCATTTTTTACCCAAAAATAAAATAAAATTTTTCAATTTCTTTTCAAACTATTTTGTAGAGCTTAAGAAAACAAATAATTTATTATATTGAAGCGTTATTATGATCCTAATGGTTACGTTTACGTAGAAATTTCCAAAAAATTGTAAATTTAAAATTCCCATGTTACAATAAGGAAACTGTTATAGCTTGCTTGTTTATGAACGTATTTTAATTAAATTTGGAAAATGGATTTATTTCTTACTAAACTATTCACATTCTAAAAAAAACAAAAAAAAACACACTTTTAAACCTCCCTGTTGCAGCAAACCTTAGTCCTCGTTAAATTAATTATATTTAAATAAGCAATGAATGTGATATTTTAAAGGAGACATTCCAATCAGGGAAATGGAAATATGCTTAGTCTACAGGTTTGCTCAGCGGGGGTATTCAGGTTACGGCACGATCTCCTAGATGTTGAGTCCTTGAAGTTTCCCCACATTGAATTACCACTACAAGCGTATTTGAAGAAGTAAGAGATACAGGAACACACACACAATAAAACCAAACATCACTGCAAAGTCTGAAACTGCTGTAATGCAGGAGCAATATTTCCTTCAGCCTTCTGATGCAGACCAGGTCTACTAACCCTGGCATATAAGTAGCCTATTTTTGTCATAGCCATGAAATTAAAATAACTAAACGAATTATTTAATTTTTAGCAACTGCTAAAATTATAAGCAACAATGGGAAAATTATCTGGGAATTTGTCCCTATGCAACACTAATTTGTATGACTTAGCAATTTTATATTACAGAAAATTCTTTACAACCGAAATACTATTCTATCTCATAGTTTGCAGATCTACCGATAGTCCCTGTAAAATAGAGCTGCTTTGTCCGATGGATTAAATAAATATAGGCCTAAATATATTCTCACCTATGATAGGTAAAGTAACAACTTTTTGTAACTTATCTTAGATGATAAAAAAATTTAAATATTGTTTATACATTTTTTGTGAACTAATGCACAGTTTGTTCTTTGATAGATTTTGAGGTTTGAGACGGATCAAGTGTTAGCAAGCCCAGATTTTTTGTCCATGAATTCTGACGGGTTTCTCAAGATTTTGGAACAGGATGAACTTGCAGTTCCCGAAATAGAATTGTGGAGAGCAGCGATTAAATGGGGAAAACACAGAGGTAAGATTTTGATCTTTACTTTAAATGCACACCTAAGCCGAGTCTGAGTACACAACCAAATAATGAATTATCTGAAGGACTTGACCTTGTTTGGAATACTCAATTGTTTAGATTAGCCGTATGTGCATTCAAATTACATCACACAATTAGAACAAATGTATCATTATGACTGTACAGTAATGATGCGTTTTTTATTTATAGTAGACTCCCGATTATCCGAGGTAATTAGGACCGGGACTACTTCGGATAACTGGAAAACTCGGATAATACGGAGGTTAAGTACAGTTATAGTAAAAAAGACGTATAACACAGTGAAAGTTTACAAAACTGGTATATTAAAAGAAAGAACATATAATAGACACAATTTAATAGCTGTAAGCAAGTATGAACACAGATTATTTCTTTAAAAAGACTTCGATCGTCTTCTGAGCTAACCTCACATTAAATTTGGTTTCAAGAGAAACTGCAACTCTTTTCCGTTTCCCACACACAGCAACAATAAAAATCAACAACAAATGATGAATATTCGGTAACAGTAAAAGTCAACAATAACGATAAAAAATCAATTAAAATGGCATAAATAAACACAACCGCGATTAGCACGAGAACAATTAACATCAACCACGTTCAGCGCGAGTTCAGAGCTACTAAACTGGGACTCAGGACTCAGAGGGACTAAAAGTGTCAGGTCCAGGTGGATAAGGAAATACGCAGGTTTCCAGTGCACCGATAATTCATAGAATACTCGACCTAGCAACAGCCAGTAAAGATCTTAGGTGCAACTAATCTTAGTAGCAACACTAAATAAACAGGCCGTAAGGCTCCTCAGACATGACGACTTCATAGGCAATAAAATGATATTTTTTAGTTAGGCTACATTTTTGTTTTCCAAGGAAAGATTTAAACACCCAGCTGATTGCAAATGGCAAAAATTACATCATTGCCGTCACCTACGATGCTATTTTATAGTTTTATTTTTGTTTTCCATGAAACGATTAAAACAAGCAGCTGATCATATACGGCAAAAATTACGTCATTGCCGTCGCCTACGATGACGTCATGCTTAAGGAGCATTACAACCTGTTCATTTAGTAGAGGTGTGCAGATATCCGAAAAATCGGGTCGGATTCAGTTCTGTTCGGATATCCGTATCCGAACCGAGCCTAAATTTGATATCCGACACAATCCATTATTTATCCGACTTTTTCGGATAGACAACATATTTTGACGTTTTTGACAGAAATCTAAATCTCCATAACCATCATTAGTTTCCCAGGACAAAATTACAGCATTACGTTTCCAACGACAACATAACAGCAAAGGACAAAGAAGCCGTATGATGCAAACCTATGTCTAGTTTATCCCTCCGAGTGTCCATAGTTTAGGCCTTAATGTCCACCTATTTTTGGCCCCTTTGCAAGGTTTTATTAAAACGGATCTGAGAAGCTTAAAACAATGTCAATTCTAATGTTCTATATACCATTTTGTTTGGAAAATCATGGGCTTCAATATTATATATAAAACATAAGGAACATTTTTTCAAAAAAAAAAATTTTTAGGTAAAAAAAAAATATAATTTCGAAAATTTTCAAAAAAAAAATAAGTTCGCGCTCAATGAAATTGTATAAATTATAGGCCTATAAATATTTGAAAATAGCCACTTTGTTCTAAATTTAATGAGGATTACAAATATATAATCATATAGCGAGGTAAGTTATCAAATAAATAAGTTATGAGCGAAAAACGGATTTCAGTACATAGCGTTTAGCTAAGAATGCATAGCCTAACCATAGCTAGGAATCTGGCTGATAATTTACATCAATATCACTACCTACTTCTTCAGGATCATCAACCAGCACTTCAAAACCACTTAAATCTTCTTATAATGCACCACGTATATCACTACTTTTGATTTTTAACACTAAAACAATGATAAACGTAATAAAACACATCAGTCATCGGTCCGGGGGAACCTAGCTGTTTACAAATACACGCACGTCAGCTGTCTGCTACAATATTTTCGGAACTAAAATGAATAGCGCTTAGAGACAGACCTCTGGAGAAAGCTTAGAATATTACGGAAAGAACGATACCTAACTCGATCCAGTTCAATCCGATTCAGTCAGTCATAGAGCCTTCGCCGTAAACGATGTTTGTGCGTCATAAAAGTGACGCGTGACCCTACACAAAGTGTGTTGTGCGTCATTTTTATGACGCGTGACACTCGGAGGGTTATAGTTGTTATCAACGTCGTTATCGGCTGTTTTGCTTTACAATTAGATTCGTCTGGAACGAACAGATAAACAGAAAAGAACTACCATGGTCAACTCGTGCTTGTCTCCTGATACTAGGGGCGCTATGTGTAATAGTTTTATTTTACAGTACTGTTTTAAAGTATAAAAATCTAGTGTACTTCTGTGCTGTTACGTAAACAATAGATTTAATGTTTCCCGAAAAAAATCAGAATAGAAACAATAGAAAGGCAACACAATAGAAGAGTGAGAGGGGTTGGGCAATGACCTCGAAAGGAGCCCGGGTAACAGGTAGCAACAGTGAGTCGAGTTGGCCTTGAGGGGGGAAGGGGTGGGTACGACCTTGAAGCTATATATAGACTTGCACTACTTCCCTAAATCTAAGGGACTGGCAAGTGGTATTCCAATCACAGGACAAGATATGTTGTTTATCGGGTATTCATTGCCCGGTTTCACTTTGGATTGTCTTATTGTGTAGAAACTTTGAATAATCAAAAATAAAATTAGAACTAACCACGATTATTTAGCATTTATTGTCTATATTAAATGATTAAATGATAGGGACCGGGGGAGATATACAAACTTTTGTCATGATTAGAATTTCAACATCAAAATACAATATTGCATAATCATGATATTTTAGGTCATTGACCTTTAATATGCATCCGGTATTGCTCTTTCAAAAGAGAAGCACGTTAATAAATTGTAAATTGATATCCCGTGGTAAAAAAAAAAAATTTATAAACCTATAAAACAAAATCGTAAAATCCTACATAAAGATAATAACAAGAACAGCAATAATTGTAAAAAGGGTATAAAGATAACAACGTCATTATACTTTCTCTTTGTTCTCCTATTTCTTGGGTTTCCCTTCATCACGCATTCAATAACTTTCCTAGTTGCCATGGTTACAAATCACCCATTATCAGCTTTTGTGACATTTATAGTTATTATTTTTTTTATGACTGGCTCGGTTACCCGAGACTCAGATAACCGGGAGTTTACAGTACAGGAGCCTTTCTCCCCAACAGTTAGTTTGTTTTGGTGAGACTCTTGTGTTTTAAATGGTTTTAATGAATTCCACCTTTTATCCCAAGCATATTTCAAGAAATTATCCAAAGCCTTCTAATCTCTCCCATTTAAATAACCTAAGAGAAACAGAATAGCTTAATGCAATTCAAATTAAAAATTCAAATAATCTTAATTTGTTTGAAGTATACAATACATGCATAAATAGTGTCAGGTAGTACAGGTACCGTATTGAAAAATGAAAAACAAAAGTTTCTTAGAATTAACAATGCAAAAATTCTTCCTACTTCCTACAACTCATTGAAAGAATAAATAGGTAGCTTTGTTGATGAGGTACTGCTTCAATTCTTAGTAGTTGCGCGATAAAGAGATGATATCACTGAATGGATGTAAGAGAAATAAACAACTTCTTTTTCACAAAAATATTTCAGCCTAACCAATGCGTAAAGGCCAGAAGAAATTTTTGCGATCAATTGTTCAACATGACGGTTCCATTTAAGTGTACTTTCTAATCCTAAAAATTTTATGCTGTCTTTGACTTCAATTTTTTTATCAAATATGGTAACATTAGGTTGAGTTATATTTTGAGCTGATCGAGTTTTAAAACAAATAATATTAGTTTTATCAGGATTTAAAAGCAAATTGTTGGCATTAAAAAAATTGTTTAAGAGAGTTAGGTTAGAATTAATTTTAATTTATAATTCAGCAACGGTTGATGCAGTGATTTTCAAATTGGTGCCATCAAACAAAGTGTCATCAGACAAAGTTTACTGAAATCAGAAAGCTGAGGGAAGTTTCTTAAATAGCAAATAAATAAAAGGGGACCTAAAATGGATCCCTGTGGCACCCCATATTTAACTGCTGTAATAGCGGAACGATAAGGGATTTTATAATTTTTGTTGTTATGATAAATAATTTTGACAAACCGTTTTCTATCGTGAAGGTAAGATTTTAGCCAGTTTAAAGTATTGTATTTAATTCTTAATTTACTCAATTTCAAAATTAATAAATCATGTGATATTGAATCAAAGGCTTTGCTAATGTCCATGAATAGACCCGCAACTTTACCTTTGTTGTCTAGACTATCTATAACAGATTCTCAATGAAGTCTGTGGCAGCTGTAATAACTCAAATCAAATCAAATCAAATCAAAATGTCTTCATTTCGTATTAAATAATGATTTTTACAGTTTTTACAAAATATCATATTACCATAAGAATATAACTGAGTAACTTAAACTATACGAAATTAATCCCACATGGGAGAACCCGTGCATGGGAGTGAGTCATTTTACATAACAGATCGACCATAGCGGAAGCCATGTTGACAGTCCTCAAATAGATGATTTTTTCCAAAAAAATTACCAGTTGGTTATAAACTAATTTTTCATAAATTTTTGAGATAGATGGTAACAATGCTATAGGGCGATAGTTTGATACAATTTTCTTGTCTCCTTTTTTGAAGAGTGGTTTTAATTTTTTAATCTTAATTTTGTGGGGAAAAATACCTGAAATTAAGGAAGAATTTATAAGGTGAGTAATAGGTTTTAGTAAGACTGATTTAGCTTTTTTTAGAAGTACCGCAGGGACATCATCATACTCCATATGAAAGAATGTTTTAGGCTGCAGATAATAACATCTATGTCCTTCTCATCAACAAAGCTAAAACAAAATTTCCTGTCATATGGAAGTATCTCTCTCCCAGTATTACTACTGCTAT